CAGGCCAGCCAGGACAACCAGGACAGCCGGGATACCCAGGACAACCAGGACAGCCAGGGCAACCTGGAACACCAGGACAGCCAGGATACCCAGGGCAACCAGGGCAACCCGGTCAGCCTGGAGCACCAAGTCAACCAGGATACCCAGGTCAGCCAGGCCAACCAGGACAACCGGGACAGCCGGGATATCCAGGAACACCAGGACAGCCAGGATACCCAGGGCAACCAGGACAACCCGGTCAGCCTGGAGCACCAAGTCAACCAGGATACCCAGGTCAGCCAGGCCAACCAGGACAACCGGGACAGCCGGGATATCCAGGAAAACCAGGTCAACCCGGAGCACCAGGACAGCCAGGTCAACCCGGAACACCAGGACAGCCAGGATACCCAGGGCAACCAGGACAACCCGGTCAGCCTGGAGCACCAAGTCAACCAGGATACCCAGGTCAGCCAGGCCAACCAGGACAACCGGGACAGCCGGGATATCCAGGAACACCAGGACAGCCAGGATACCCAGGGCAACCAGGACAACCCGGTCAGCCTGGAGGACCAAGTCAACCAGGACAACCAGGATACCCAGGTCAGCCAGGCCAACCAGGACAACCGGGACAGCCGGGATATCCAGGACAACCAGGTCAACCCGGAACACCAGGACAGCCAGGACACCCTGGAACACCAGGACAGCCAGGATACCCAGGGCAACCAGGACAACCCGGTCAGCCTGGAGGACCAAGTCAACCAGGATACCCAGGTCAGCCAGGACAACCAGGACATCCGGGACAGCCGGGATATCCAGGACAACCAGGACAGCCAGGACAGCCAGGAAAACCTGGAACACCAGGTCAGCCAGGACAACCTGGAATACCAGGACTACCAGGACAACCGGGTCAACCTGGTAAGCCAGGACAGCCTGGTACACCAGGACAACCCGGTGTTCCTGGCCAACCCGGACAACCAGGACACCCCGGATATCCCGGACAACCAGGACAACCTGGCTACCCAGGACAACCAGGTAAACTTATTTTTCTCTATAATGAACCTTTAAACAAATAGTCTGTCTTAAAAAATAGTAAAATGTTAGAAAATTAATCTCTTATTTATTACAAAATTACAATGTGCACAAGAATATGCAAATAATAGCACGGGAGATGCCCTGTACACCGGCCGCCACAATATTTCTCGGAAAAACGTCATCGAGAGTCGAAGCAAACTTGTGTCTGAAATTGAAACTTCCTTAGCGGTTTCAGATTAAGGCCGACTAAATCTAGTCCAGTTTAACCCAAAAAAGACACAGGTCTGTGCGTTCACCGCAAAGAAGATACCATTTGTCGTATCACCTCGGTTTGAGAGCACATCTCTAACTGCCTCAGCCAGCATCGGAATCCTAGGCATCGACATATCGAGCGAAGTCCAGTTTCGGGGTCACTTAGAGGGTAAGGTCAAATTGGGCTCGCTAAGCTCGGTGTGCTGAACAGAATCCAGGCAGTATTTCACTCCGGCCCACCGCCTTCAGCTCTATAAGGCGCAAGTCCGGTGGCATATGGAATACTGTTCTCATCTCTATGCAGGTTCACCACAGTACCAGCTTCTCCCTCTGGATCGCATCCAACGAAGAGCGACTCGAATCGTCCATAGCCCAAACATCTCCGATCGGCTCGATCCCTTAGCGTTACGTAGAGATGTGGCTTCACTCGGCATTCTCTATCGCATATATCATGGAGAGTGCTCCGACCTTCAAACCTTCAAGAAAAGAGCGTACTCCTTCCTAAAAGGCCGGCAACACGTTTGTGACTCCTGAGTTGCAGATGTTCATGGGCGGCGATGGTCACTTTCCGCCAGGTGACACGTCTGCTCGTCTGCCCCCTGTAACATAATAAAAAAAAAGTGTAATCACTAAAGTACTAATAAAATGTAATGTACATGTCCACAAAAATGTGCTCTACTAACTAGATGATAGATTGTAGATTGCAATGACATCCATTGTACTATTCAGTATTTGATGTACAACATCTAATGCATAGGGTCAGGCCAAGTGTTGGTCTGGTAACGCATCGCATCGCTATATGATAGTTGATAGCATATTAAGGCCCCAGTTCGCAATACCCAGTAAAAAGTCATACTCCGCAATGTGCAATTGTAGAAAATTTTAATGCAGAGGTGTTGGTTGATTCAAATTCGCCAAATTTTGCGTTTGATGGCGAAAAAAAAACAACGCAACACCATAAACAATGCATTCTATTTAAATGTTCACAGTGCAGTATCACTTAGTTATTATTATTCGACTTACTGATTGACCGATTCTTATGATTTATATTACTATAAAAATAACAACAGCAACATTTAATTCGTAGTTTCTAAACATCATTCAATGTAGAACGTTGCTGAATTAACAATATACAACTAATATAATAGTAACTAGCTGAAGCAGAGGACATGTTTAAATAAGTCTCTCTTTCGGTCACCCAGGGCAACCAGGCAATCCAGGACAATCAGAACAGCCAGGATACCCAGGTCAACCAGGACAACAAGGTCAGCCAGGACAACCAGGACAGCCAGGATACCCAGGTCAGCCAGGACAACCAGGACAGCCAGGATACCCAGGTCAGCCAGGACAGCCAGGTTATCCAGGACAACCTGGACAATCAGGTCAGCCAGGACAGCCTGGAAAACCAGGACAGCCAGGTCAACCAGGACAACAAGGTCAGCCAGGACAACCAGGACAGCCAGGATACCCAGGTCAGCCAGGACAACCAGGACAGCCAGGATACCCAGGTCAGCCAGGACAGCCAGGTTTTCCAGGACAACCAGGACAATCAGGTCAGCCAGGACAGCCTGGAAAACCAGGACAGCCAGGTCAACCAGGACAACAAGGTCAGCCTGGAGGACCAAGTCAGCCAGGACAACCAGGATACCCAGGTCAGCCAGGCCAACCAGGACAACCAGGACATCCGGGATATCCAGGACAACCAGGACAGCCAGGACAACCCGGAACACCAGGTCAGCCAGGACAACCTGGAAAACCGGGACAGCCAGGTTACCCGGGACAACCAGGGCAGCACGGTCAGTCTGGAGGACCAAGTCAACCAGGATACCCAGGTCAACCAGGTCAACCAGGACAGCCAGGACAACCCGGAACACCAGGTCTGCCAGGACAACCCGGAACACCGGGTCAGCCAGGACAACAAGGTCAGCCAGGACAACCAGGACAGCCAGGACAGCCAGGATACCCAGGTCAGCCAGGACAGCCAGGTTATCCAGGAGCACCAGGACAATCAGGTCAGCCAGAACAGCCTGGAAAACCAGGACAACAGGGCCAGCCTGGAGGACCAAGTCAACCTGGGCAGCCCGGACAACCGGGATACCCAGGACAACCAGGTAAAGTTATTTTTCGCTTTGGTTAACCTTTATTCTTTTCTGTCATAAAAAATACTAATACCTGAAAAGGTATCTCCTCTAACTATTGCTCAGCATTACTAATCATCTCAACCAATATCGTCCACACGATCCATCGTCAAGTACTAATAACATGTAGTATATAGTACTCGTATGTATAAGTTTATAAAACATGCAGGACAAAGTAGGTAGTTATTACTACACAAGCAAAAGATTGCAGATTGTGATTATATCTATAAACTTTTTTTGTTCCATGAGGCATACAATCAATAAGATACTATGAATCCAATCAATAAGATAATACACACAACACAACAAAACATAATCTGTACACAACTATGCTATTCTTATTGATGTAAAACCACATGTCCCTACTGTCACTTACAGATAAAACAAATACTTAACTGTCTTAAAAAAAATTGTTTGACTTACTACTTGACCCATTCTTATTATTTACATTATTGGTAACTGGTAACTAGCTGAAGTACAGAAACAACTTAAAGAAACGTGCTTTTTTAAATGAGTTCCTCTCTTTCGGTTACCCAGGGCAACCAGGCTCTTCAGGACAGCCTGGGGCACCAAATCAACCAGGACAACCAGGTCAGCCAGGGTACCCAAGTCAGCCGGGACAACCAGGTCAGCCAGGATACCCAGGACAACCAGGTCAGCCAGGAAACCCAGGACAACCAGGTCAGCCAGGATACCCAAGTCAGCCGGGACAACCAGGTCAGCCAGGACAGCCTGGAAAACCAGGACAGCCAGGATACCCAGGACAACCAGGTCAGCCAGACCAGCCTGGAAAGCCTGGACAGTCAGGATATCCAGGACAGTCGGGACAACCAGGCCAGCCAGGATACCCAAGTCAGCCGGGACAACCCGGCTATCCAGGACAACCAGGTCAGCCAGGTCAGCCAGGACAACCAGGACAGCCAGGATACCCAAGTCAGCCGGGACAACCAGGCTATCCAGGACAACCAGGTCAACCAGGACAGCCAGGATACCCAAGTCAGCCGGGACAACCAGGCTATCCAGGACAACCAGGTCAACCAGGACAGCCAGGATACCCAGGACAACCAGGTCAGCCAGGACAGCCTGGAAAGCCTGGACAGTCAGGATATCCAGGACAGTCGGGGCAACCAGGCCAGCCAGGATACCCAAGTCAGCCGGGACAACCCGGCTATCCAGGACAACCAGGTCAGCCAGGACAACCAGGACAGCCAGGATACCCAAGTCAGCCGGGACAACCAGGCTATCCAGGACAACCAGGTCAACCAGGACAGCCTGGAAAACCAGGACAGCCAGGACAACCAGGACAACCAGGTTATCCTGGACAACCAGGACAGCCTGGATACCCAGGACAACCAGGTCAGCCTGGAGGACCAAGTCAACCAGGACAACCAGGATACCCAGGTCAACCGGGACAACCAGGTCAACCAGGATACCCAGGTCAAACGGGACAACCAGGTCAACCCGGTCGGCCAGGTCAGCCAGGACAACCAGGATACCCAAGTCAGCCGGGACAACCAGGCTATCCAGGACAACCAGGTCAGCCGGGAAATCCTGGACAGCCTGGATACCCAGGGCAACCGGGTCAACCAGGACAACCAGGTCAGCCTGGATACCCAGGACAACCGGGTCAACCTGGACAGACTGGATACCCAGAACAACCAGGACAATACCCAGGTAAGAAATTACATTTTAACTTTTCAAAGCCTTAAATACAAACAACCAAAAATACAAAATGATTTCCCATTGCGCTGAAACCAACTGGAAAATTCACAATATTTTATAATTTATTTTCCAGATTCTGAAGGTTCACCAACTGGTACTGGAGTTCAACCACCTACTACTTATCCATCAGGTCAGATGCCACCTTTCCCAATATATGTTATACCGTACCCCCTGCCAATCGTACCAAGCCCGGCATCATGCCCATGCTATTTACTAAATCCAGGCCAGAACAACACTACAAGTAACGGCCAACCAACTCAGGCTCCGCAAAGACCACCTAACAATCAAAACCAGGTATATGCACCATATGGTATTATAGGATATATCCCTGTGGTGTTTGTACCATATTGTCCGGGACAAACCTCAAATATGGACAGCGCTCAACAAAACTTCCCTGACGCAGTTCCTGTAGAATATAATTGTCCGCAATGCCAAGCCAACAGAAATATTTACCGCTATTTTGGCAGATTAAATGGAGGACGTAGTACTGGCTTCAAGGATCTCAAAGAGTTAAAATCTCTTGCGGAACTGGATGACCTTCTGAAAAATAAAATCAAACCTATGAAAACAAGTATTCGTAATATCGCAGCACATCCACGAATTCTCGAAGATACAAACGAAAAAAGTGTTAAGAAAATTAATGAAAAACTTAAAATTGAGACAAAAAATGTTGAAAAGAAAAATGACGAGAACATTAAATTAAATTAGTAGTAATTAGTAGATGCCAGGATTGGCGTGGTTACTTTAGCCTCCTTTGGTGCAAATAATTTTGAGACTGTCCGATTACATAACTTCTTGGACGATCTCATAATTATAAAATGACGTAAACATAATATTTATTATCGGCAAAACAAATACGTCATAGGATATAGGATATTGTAAAAAAAATATTTAATTAAAGTCATAAGTACGTATTTTTCCTATTTACGAAATACTTTTCTGTATGTAATATTTACAATAAATTTTGTAATTTACAATTAAAATTGAGTATATTTATTTTGCTGTTAGAATCAACAAACTGCTTCCATTCTTAATAAAAGTTGTAACGAAATAATAAAATGTATTTTAATAAACCTTTGGTTTTAATGATTCACTAAGATTATCACCTCCAGCATATGAATGCATTACTTCGAATCACCAATGAACATTAAATTGAAATAATATTAACATTTCAAACTCATTATACTTAAAAAGTCCACATTTCAAAGGTTAGCTCTAATATATAATGTAGCTATAAAATGGTTACCGCATAAAGGTGCACAATAACAAAAAAGATAAACAATGTTTCAAAAAATTTACAATATAATTGAATCATAAAATAATGTAATAAAGTAAATTCGAGAACAGAGGATAAAACAGGAGTTAAAACTCTTAAGCAGTGCTCTAGCACCATAGGAAAAAGCAAAACACTGTCATTTTTATGGATATGAATATATGTATGTACATGTTAGTGCTATACCAATCAAATTTATATTTTGTTTTGACAAATACATCTATTTATTTTTAATTTCATCGAGCCCATGTACATTAGAAAATTTTACAAAATAACCGTATAAATAACAGTTATTTTGTAAAATTTTTTTTTTTAAAGGAAATAGTTGCAACTGATAATCATAATCACTATCAGTGAGTTTGCTGGTTTTTTGTTACATTATCACGTATTATCTCTTAAATCGATCACCATGAAATTTATACACACAGGCATGCCAGGCTATAGAAAAAAATCCTGAAAGAATACTGACCCCAAGCGGTAGATAGATTGAAAAAGCCTACATTCCCTACAGTGGACCGTGGACAATGGCTCTTTAAGTTACATTGTATTATTTAAATGTGAAAATATTCGTTCAAGACATACTACATACATACATACATACATTACAATATTATTATGAGCCTCTTGCTCGTTGGCAAGCGATAGATCTTAGTTAGTCAAAAGTAGTCAGTCAAAGCTATCGAAATATTTACAACATCTTACAAAGTAATAAGATACTTTAGAATTAATCACAAATGACTACTTAAAAGCTTGGTGTATTTTTTGAGTACAAATTAAGGGCTGAAAAAATAAAGTATCATCTATCGTAACAAATGACTCTTCTAAACAAAATTCAAATCACACCGTATATAAATGAAAACGATGACAGTGGTGACATAACTACATTTAGCCACACAAACACATTTTCTTTATCTCGAGTTTCGTAAACACATATATGTACATTTGTGTCGATGTTAAGTTACGTATCATGTATTGTGAACCACCGCGGCCTTGACGCAAATGCGTCGTCACGGGTCACTGCGAGGCTCTAAACATTATCCTACTGCTCGTAAGGCTTTCATACAAATGTAAACATGGGAAAACCAACGATATGAAACAATGACAGTATTTTTTATACAAATCAGTGTTCCGTTCTTAATTTAATGCTCTTAGTTAACAACAGCTAAACATCCTGTTTGACCTGTAGATTTATGTAAAAAAATAAAGTATTAATTCTTATGATTAGACACGACAGACACGCTGTAAAGGTGAGATAAAAAGAGCGAAATGGAAGCCTTGGCAAGACGACGGTTTTGGCACGGTACAATTATAATACAGTAGTGTAACTCGGCCGCATGATAGAAATAAATGCCTACAGCCGCGCGGTACGTAAACATGCGTTAGGGCTGCCCGTCTCCAGCATTTTTGCCTACTTTCTGTTTCTATTTAGATTTGTGATTGTAAATATCCTTTTTATATAAATAAATGAAATACTTTGTATATTGAATAGGAAGTGTTCAATAAAAATGCGTGTTGTTTTTTGATTGGTAGATTTAATTATTTTATTTTCTTTCTGCATTGGAGGAGTTCAAGTTTCAATTTTATTTTTCTTGGAGTGTTGCTAGAGAGATTCGTTGAGATTTGAGCAAAGATTTCATTTGTTGCATTTTCAGTCTGTGTACTATTTTCATTTCCTACCAACGGAGCAGTTTGGGTTTGTTTATCTTCTTTTAGAGAGACTCCTGGATCAGTACTAGCTAAGCTTGGCAGCATCAACAATGGTAGGGCATTCTTTTTTAAAAGTTTTCTATTTGATGAATGTAATACATCCTCCAAATTAAAATGTTTTTCACAAACTTGGTAGGAACTAAAGTTAGGTTTGTTTTCCAAATCATCTCGCCGGATCAGTTGCAACCATTGAAGACGTCTGAAAAAAAAATACATGTGGCACTCTCGGAGACTGCCGCGGTAAAGCTGTTGCATAAATTTTTTTTTTTTAAAGAAAAATATCTGCGTGGGGTCAGGTATTTTTCGTTAGGTTTTGAGAATTTCTTGATTCGGTCACCGCGCCGCGCCGCGCTCAGAGCCCGCGATAAAAGCTATGCAATAGCTTAAAAATCCTTCTATAAAATAAAAAATGTGCTTTCTCCATACGCGTTACAAAACTCCAATCCTTAGAAACTCCAACACCTGCCTACTCAACTAGGATGCAGAAACAGCTGACGAGTAAGTAACTTTTTATCTCAGCTTATTAACGTCTCTATAAATTAGGTACCTACCTACAACTCGCAACAACTCAAAACAAAAATTCTTTGGTCACCAATTAATTAATTATTAAAAAGCTGAACAGCTGACTACAAATGTTTTAAAATCACAACCCTCAAACATCTAAATATTATATATGAGTCTAGCTGTTGTTGTTAATACCGAGAAAATAAAACCAGTTTTTAGTGGTATATGTTGTTATAGTAGCAGCAGAAACACTTTGTGAAAATTTCGAAAACTAGGTATCTAATGACACACAGACGGTAAAAAAAAAAATCTAGTATTATTCATACACACAGATAATAAACAAATATTATTAATAATAAAATACCACGTCTTTACTTTGAATTATGCAAAGTAACAAAACACACATGCATCGAAGTTTTAACACAAGCGTAAGTAGTTACCTACCGTATCATGATTCATTCAGAACCGCATATAACTACCTATTTCACTCGTCTCAATAAGTTTCCGTTACTCTATTCGCTTTATTTATTAATCCTAACACCTTTTTTTTGTGAGATAAAAGGAAATACTTATCCATTAAAAAGACACATATTATGTGCCTACTTACTAGTAAGTAAAATTATTATTTTATTAATTATTATTAAGTAAAGTAAAATTATTATAGTGTTACCTTTCAGAGTTTCAAGGTAATTTAAAAAAACTTATGTCTGGATGCGTTACTGACGAATTCATACAACCAAAAACAGCACAATATTTCCTACTCGTCATATTGGTTATTGTTAAAAAAACAACACACCGTCCGTTCGACACTGCGGTACAGCCATGACTGTCTGCGCCCCGAGCGCACCCCGAGATCGAGGCGCGTAGGTATAGCTCGCGTTTCGTCCGTTTGTATGAAGTTGGAGTACTGTAATATAATAGTACCGTGGTTTTGGGATGTTGATCAATGCAATCAGTTCGATCTACGATAGTTTAAAGTTTTAATAATAAGAATCTACTGTTTGAGAATTTGAGCTATGTGGGGAACTACTATTTAAATTAACGTCTTTTCAATTTTATTTTATAAAATAATATGTCAGAAAAAAATTGTATCTATACACAAAGATGTGTGAAAGACATTACTACACTACATTATTATGTGGTATAGTGTTCACTAATTTGTTTTTGAGTGTATTGTATATTTCTCTCCTTGCCGATTTCGACTACGGTAACTGCTGTTTGTTTACAGGTGACATTTTTTTTAACCTATGAAGACCCCCTCAGACCTTCCCCCAACCGGGGATTGCGTCGGGGCTGTGTGTGGGAATCAAACCAAATAAATCTACACGGTGTGCCACTCTGCGCCTGTAATAGGAGAGATCCGGGAACTGCTATTATTAAGACATCCGGACCCCTCCTTGCGCCTTCCCGCAATGTCCGGGACGTCCGGCAAACGCGGCTGGCGGTTATGGCGGGTGTAGGGGAAAACCCGTCCCATCCACCCGCGGCCACACTCGGGCCCGGTTTCCACCAAAGCAGAGAGGAGACGAGACGAGAGGAGATGCGAAGCTGGCAGGTTACTTCCACCAAAGCGGAGAGGAAAAGTGAGCAGTGTGTAGCAGAGAACTACTGTACTGTCAAGTCCAGTCAGTCAAGTCACTGTAGCTTCGAAAGGACAACGCCATGTCGTTACAATAGTTTTATCTTAATTTGCTTGAGGAAGAGTAATTAGAGGTTGAAGGTATACGATTAATTTTTCTTATGTTCTTCTTCTTATATTTAAATGTAACATATACGACATGTTAGGACACCATTGATATAATTATAGAATATTATGGCAGTTGGTGGTCTAGTCCTTAGGCCATCGCGCTTCCGATCTAGCTCTGTTTTGCACTGCTCGTCTAATTTTTGCTGTACCAAGCGCCTTTATTCAGGTCGACAGTTTGCTTGGTTCTCCTATGTTGTGGGCATCTCGCATTGCTTTACCTATATGTATTTCTGGGCATTCTTATAACGTAGGACTTGATCGTTAAAATACAAATTTTATAGTACAGAGCCTGTATTATAACGAAAAAAACATTTTATCGTAAAAAAGCGTAGGGTGCAAGATGTCAATTGTTGTAAATATGTTTTGACGGATATTGTTAAAAGTAAAGTTTTCACGCTTTTTTACTATAAAATGATTTTTTTCTCAATCACTATTTTTCTTTTTCAACTGATTGAAAATTATTTTCTACTTTATAGTTAGGACTGTATAGTTATAAAAGCCTGTCTCTTGTATTATTATTTTTTGTTAAACTATTAATTACCCTTAGTATAGTAGACCAAAACCTCCTTTCTAAGGAGAGGCCTATGTCCAGCAGTGGACTGGCTATCAACATCTGTTCATGATTGATGTTTTCTTTTTTTTTAAGTCTTTAACGTTAATTATTTTCTCATTAAAGACTAATAAGTAACAAGTAAGGAAGTCACATATGCTTCAGTATACCCGTTACTACGCGGCACAAAATACTACCGTATTTTAGATATGGAGAAAGTCGTCAATCCTGAAGATGCTGATCATGATAATCGGAACAACTTATTAAATTATTATATTGTCATCGGTCCTTGATAAGTATTCGAAGTTTTATTACAATCTGACTTTTTAGATTCGTTACATAGATAAATAGATACATGCATACCGAATTAATTCAAGCGTGGTAATAAGTAAAACTAAATTTTTTTTTAATAAAGACCCTCCTACATTTGTAAAGTTCAGTCATATTTTATTTAACAATGAGCAAATGAGAAAATAAACATATTACTAATTTAAACTTTTTTTTATGGAACAGGGGGCAGACGAGCAGACGGGTTAACAGATGAAAAGTAACCACAGCCGCCGCCACCCATAATCGCCTGCAACTCAGGAGTCACATTTCGTCATAGTCGAAGTTATTTGTCAGAAGGTCGCCCTGAGGTGACCTTCTGACAAATAACTTCGACTGGATACTCGAATAGCCACTAGTTTAGGCGGTCGCCACGCCGCTTCCTACTACGCTGAGTGTTGAGGGTTCGATCCCCACATGGGACGACACTGTGTGATCCACGGATTGTTGTTCTGAGTCTGATTGTTCTTTGCGTCCGTTTCATGTAGGTATGTATGTTTGTAAAGTCCCCCGCGACACAGGATATGTTCCTAGTGCGGGAGTTGTCTTTTAAAAAAACTTATGTACAACACAACATCTCTCTTTCTGTATATTTACATGATAGTAATATGCGTATTCGTTCCAAATAGCAGTCATTAATTATTCCGTTTGCTTTGATTTAGCTTCCTCTATATCTCTTTGTTTTGCACTGACCGTTGTCTTTTTAATACCCGTGACAAGATGTATCCAAGTCCTTCTTAACAAAAAAAATAAAATAAAAAATAAATGTTTATAGACATTATTGGTAGCATTATCTAGATTTATAGTAAACCCTTTTTTGAAGATTTATCATTAATTAACGGTTTGAGGGTATTTACCCCATGATCAACTAGGTAATATATCTGATAAATATGCAATCATTTACTGCCATAAATACAAATCTTATTCTTTCTCATGGCATTGCTAGTGGAATATTGTATGAGTCACATTGTGACCTTGTCTCCGACCACCATACTAGATGTCAGTCACACACTTTTGAAGTTTATACATTATTGCTTCCATAATTGTCATACAAATTGGACAAAAACAACAATTTTAGGGAATTTACAGCAATATAATAGCTGTGTAGTTGAATATTTACCTCAAAATACATAAGTAATACAGAGAAAAAACGTCGACAAAAACTAAGAATCTTTGCGTTTAGTAAGTAGGCTTAACTTGAATCTTTAACATTGTGCAGCCAGTAACATCATAGGTACTACTGATTTAGATAAAAAACTATTATATATGTACAATTCTTTTATTCCATTGCCACCAAATATAAACAAGACTTATAAATGGTCAACTATTCTAAAATAAAAATCACATCACATCAACAGCCTTTAATAGTCCACTGCTGGACATAAAATAAAAATATTTATTACATATACTAAACGTCATAATATATAATTATCACTTATGAAAGCGTATTATTTGTTTTATATTTTTTACATTGACATTCGAAAGTTAAATTCTAAAGCTAAATACTTTTTGGTACAGTCAACACAATACAATCACTCGCTGGCTATATGATAAGTTTTTATCGATTAATAGCTATTGAAAAGTCTATGATTACTATAATATAAGACTGTACAATCGTGCCCAAAACATAAATCAAAGATTTGTTAAGGTTTCTCTTCAAAGACATAATTACTATTCGTTCTTTAGACATTGGTTGTATATTAATCATCAATGCTAGTTTACTTGAATGTTTGAAGTCATCATCATCATCATCAACAGCCTTTACTAGTCCACTGCTGGACATAGGCCTCTCCTTAGGAAGGAGGTTTTGGCCTACTACACCACGCTGGCCAGACGGGTTGGTATAGGGTTTGTGTCAATTGCGCCTGAGGGCCGTGACCGAAGAGGCCGTGAGCTGTGGCGGCGTGCTGTTGGCGGTGTCATTAGACATCGCCAACGCATTCAATAGTCTGCCATTCAGCTGCATCAGGGAAGCACTCTACTATCATGGGGTGCCAAAGTACCTGAGGCGCCTAGTGGCAGACTATTTAGAGGAGCGTACCGTCGTGTACGAGGACCGAGAGGGTAATTTGAGGTGTCGGCCCATGTCGTGCGGTGTTCCACAGGGGTCTGTTCTTGGACCCCTCTTGTGGAACATAGGGTACGACTGGGCCCTTCGCGCCGATTTCCCCCCCGGGCTGGGTGTAATCTGTTACGCAGACGCTACCCTGGTGACAGCCCGGGGGGCAAACTTCCAAGAGGCGGCGCGCCTGGCCACAGGGGGAGTCTCCCTGGTGGTCGGGCGCATTGAGGCGCTGGGCTTACGGGTGGCCCTAGATAAGACGGAGGCCCTGTTATTTCATGGGCTCCGTCGTGGTCCACCCCCTGGCGCCTCAATCGCGGTCAACTCGGTCCTCGTACCGGTACGGGCCCAGATGAAATATCTGGGCCTGATCCTCGACGGGAGGTGGCTCTTCGACGAGCACTTCCGACAGCTTGCTCCAAAGCTGGTCGGCGCTGCGTCTGCCCTAGGGCGACTTTTGCCCAATTTGGGTGGACCCAGCGTCGCGACAAGACGGCTGTACACGGGGGTTGTCCGGTCAATGGCACTGTACGGTGCACCGGTGTGGGCGGCGGCTCTGACCGCCCAGAATAGGGCACGCCTCTGGCGCCCTCAGAGGGTAATGGCGGTCAGAGCCATACGCGGTTACCGCACCGTTTCGACGGAGGTGGCATGCGCGTTGGCCGGAACTCCCCCGTGGGATTTGGAGGCGGAAGTGCTCGCCGAAGTTTATCGGCGAGTGGCTGACTCCCGGGCGGAGAGCGGATTTCGCCCTCCGCCCGAGGATGTGCGCGAGTGGCGCGAAGCCGCTCGCCGAGCCACGATGGCTCGTTGGTCGTTCCGGCTGGAGACTCCACGCGCTGGCTTCGCCGCCGTCGAGGCTCTCCAGCCGGTCATCGCCGAGTGGGCAGGGTGGCAGCACGGGACCCTTTCCTTCCGGCTGACGCAGGTGCTTTCCGGGCACGGTTGCTTCGGAAAGTACCTGCACTCGGTCGCTAGGAGGGAACTGAGTCCCGCCTGCCACCACTGCGACTGCAGTGAGGACTCGGCCCAGCACACGCTGGCGGTCTGCCCCGCATGGGCGACGCAGCGCCGGGTCCTCACTGCAGTCATCGGAGTGGATCTCTCGCTACCGGCCGTAGTACGCTCCATGGCCGGTAGCGACAGTTGTTTTACCGCGGTCGCAACCTTCTGCGAGGAAGTAATTTCGCAGAAGGAGGCGGCGGAGAAGGCCCGGGAGGACGACCTCGTCTCGGACCTGATCCGCCGCCGGCGAACCGGGTGGCGGAGGCGCGCCTATCACCGCCTCATGCCGCCCTGAGTGTGGCCGCGGGTGGACGGGGTGGGTTTCCCCTCCACCTGCATTAGTTTGGCCAGCCGCGAGGGGGCGGCGTCCGCGTGTGCCGGACGTCGCCTAAAGAGAGGAAAATATTGAGACGGAGCCCGCACCAGGAGCGGGCTGGCGCTAGGAGGGGTCCGGATGTCTTAATAACAGCTGTTCCCGGATCCCTCCTCTTACAGGCGCAGAGTGGCACACCGTGTGGTTTTAGTCGGTCCGAGTCCGACACACCACCCCGCCGCAAACCCCGGTGGGGTGACGGTCCGAGGGGATTTCCACACGTTAAAAAAAAAAAAGAAAAGGGTTTGTGTCAAGTTTTCCTTCTCTTTGTTGTGAATGTTTGAAGTATTTAAACTAAATTAGCGAAAAGCTCATAAGTAAATTGTTGGACTCCTTTCAGCCTTGATGCCCAGATATATACTGGATAAGCTATCTTTGTCTAGAATATAGGTAATCAAAATGTACTCTTATGTATGTGTTGACCACCTGGCAAAGCAATACCCTATTGCTAGCAATAGTAATAAAACTAGGAAGAGCCTGTATTATAACACCAAAATTGCTTATTAACAGACTTACGTATTACTGAATTTAGAAAACAAGCTGACCCGCGCCACTTCGTATAAATAAATTTACCTTCATTTCGCAACATTCTTCATTGATACTCGACTCCTATTAGTCTTAGCATGATGTTATATAGCCTATATGCTTCTTCAAAAAAAAGAGTTATCCAAAACTTCAAGTTTTTTTAAATCGAACCAGTAGTTCCTGAGATTACCCTGAACATACTAACTCACAAACCACCATCACTATCTTTTACCTTTGTATCTATATGTGGTACCGTAACCGTATTTAAACCAAAATCGGATAAAACAAGTTTAATGGGGTACGGTTTTCAATGCTTTTACCGAATTTTTCACCGATTAAAAAAAACAAAAACTAAAAATAAAAATATTTATTCAGGTGATGTTACAAAATTAGTTACTAAAGTTTAGTTGAAGTATATCAAAGAATATACATTCGGCAAGGGGTGGATTGCCTCTGACTAAAATATCTATAAATGTAATGAATTATTAAAAAAAAGCTTTTTAACAGTTGCAGTCCGTGCCGGATCAAAGCATGTACTCCAAGCCATGGGGCCAGAGCGGGGCGTGGCGACTACTACAGGTGGTCAGGCCCTAGCGCCTATTGCCAAATAGAAGAAAATAAATAAAGCAGTTAAATATGGCTACAATAAGTTATTATAACCCTCTTAAAATTAGGATTTATTTAAAACTTTGAGAGTTTAGATGTACTACCAAATATCGTTTTATTGATTACCAGCTGACCCGCGTCACTTCGTCTGCATTTTAACTGTTGGTCGTTACATAATGTGAGCCTATATCCTTTCTTCTTCTAAAAGGGCTCTCTAACACTAAAAGAATATTACAATTCGAACCAGTACTTCCTGATATTAAACCCCGAACATAAAAACTCACCAACTTTACTTCATTATAATATTAGTATAGCAGAAGGGGCAAATTGGATTAGTAAATTAGTAAAGCAAATAAAAAATAAAAATTAGCAAAGCAAAAAGTAATTAAAATGTTTTGATTATGTTTTATTACATTTAAGGTTTATAATTTTGGCTTAATTATGATTCCAAACAGTGACTGTTAATGAATTAATTTCTTACATAAGTGTTCATAATTATTATTTTGTATTAACTTCTATTAACTGACCGTGTGGTGACGGATTTAGAATACGGAATGTCATCACCCCTATTCATCCCGTGGGTGTCGTGAGAGCCGACTAAGGGAACAACTGCACAGGGCCTCAATTCTGCTAATTACGCCAAGCCACTGTCATACCACTGACACGCTATTGAGATGCCATCGAGTGGCCATTGGCATCGGTATAAATACGGTAAAAAAGAAATAAATAAATTAAATTAAATTGTTAAAAGTATAAAAAAAAGAAATAAAAAATATTGAAAAAAAAAATTAAATAAACAAATCATTTTCTTATAATTTGAAAATATATTCATTTTAATATTATTTATATTTTTATTTTTTTATGTTGATAATTATTTATTTCTTTTTTTTATAATTTTCACATTTTTATTTTTCATAGTTTATTTTAATTAATTTATTAATTTTAATAATTTATTATAATAAAAATAAATAAATAATTTCCTCAAAAAACGTAATATATTTTTAAATTATAAGGCAGTTATTTATTACTTTTAATATTTTTTTATTTTTTATTTTAATAATTTATTATCATAAAAAAAAATCATATCCTCAAGAAACGTAATATATTTTTAACTACCGATATTTATAGCGATGCCAATAGCCACTCGATGGCATCTCAATAGCGTGTCAGTGGTATGACACTGGCTTGGCGTGAACATAAAATAGCAGAATTGAGGCCCAGGGCAACAGCACTGCAAAGAGAAGGAAAACTTGAAACAAACCCTATACCAACCCGTCTGGCCAGCGTGGTATAGTAGGCCAAACCCTCTTTTCTAATGTCCAGCAGTGAACTGTTATAGGCTGTTGATGATGATGATGATTAACTTAAAGTTTAGAATATCAGGAAAAGTTTTTAGGTTTATTAGAAGTGCTAAGTAGGTTATGGCATTAAGCAATCCTAAAAGGCAAGACGAAAATGTCTTACTCTGACAAGCATGTTACGTTGAGTCATTAAGGAAGGTGGGGCCTAGAGATAGCTAAATCACAATCACATGTGATAAATCACATGTTTAAACTCATATGATTATAAATCATATCCTCACACCTGAATCTAATTTTAAAACCACAGCTACTTAATTATTATTATTACGCTAGCGCAAAAATTGGCAGCAGTTCTAAATCTAAAAAAAAAGAATTTAATTGATTTTATTTGTCTATGACGAAATCGCGTTCACTTGTGAAATCGCTGTGACCAAAACCAATTATTTCATCAAATGAATATGATTTAAAAATAGCAATAACTTCCAAGTCTAGTGGGGCCATAACATATGTGTATTTGTTACATATATGGCCATAGCGTACATTTCTCGCAATTATTTATACAATATTTCTTGCCCCTGTTACAATTCAGAGATGTGAGTGATATATATTGATATTGATAAAATAAAAAATGATAGGAATATTTATATATATAAAATATAATATAAATATAAATATAATAAATATAATGTGAACACGATTAGAAGGGTATTAGCTCAATCATTTTTTGAATCTTAAAGTGGCACTCAAACTGTACTACTCTGTTTCTCTATTTGATTTTCTTTTGTTCTTTCTTTATTTATTTTTTAGCACATCTATGTATCGGCATCTCAGTGTGTTAGTATTTGTATGTGTGTGTATGTATGTGTACACATGGGGGTGTGCGCATGTGTATGTGCTGATACGTGTATATGCATCTATGTGTATATTATTTATGTGTTATGTATATCCCTGCCAAGGCTTACACTTCTCCTCATTTTAAGTCGACAGTTCTCCTTAGAGTACCTATATGCAGAGACTTGTAATTAGCAATAAGATTATTTAATTGTAATTATACAAAATTGTTATATGTCTGTTAGTCTCTCTAAGAATAATTAAATAAATAAATAAATAAATAAATAAATAAATAAATAAATAAATAAATAAATATATATAGATTCTTTAAAGTTATTGTTCTGCTTCTGATTTCACTTGATTTTTTAAAAGGTCTGACCAGCGTAGTATAGTAGGCCAAAGCCTACTTTCTAAGGAGATGCCTATGCCCAGCAGATGACTATTCGAGGGTGTTGATGTGATGATGTGAGAGTTAGAATTCACTTTGATATTAGGGCTATCAAGTCTAAGAAATTAGTTCTATTCTGACAAAAGCTGTACTCTTAGATGATCTAAAGCATATAATAGATAGCAAATACTACTCGTAGGTACAGGCCGGGCGATGCCTATTAAAACGTGCCTGCTAGTATATTAGTAAACTTATATTTCTTAACATTTTTAGAAAAATTCTGCACCGTTTATTAAAATGAATTTAACTCTACTTTATAGACATATCTGTTGAAAACTTAAAAATGATAGGTATCATAGCGCACTTTGCTGCTACCTGTTTACAGCCAGGTATAAGCATGTAATATTTTGTTTTATTTATGACTTCATGACGTATATTCAAAAGTAAAAGGCACAGGCAGTCAGCCAGGAATATCTCGCACTATTTGTTATAATCCTTGCACTTGGCTTTTTAATGAATAGATGAATAAGCAGATGGTAGTATACGGCCTCGTGCACACAACCTTCAAGAAGGCCAGTCAACCATATCATCACTTACCTCACTTAAATTTCACCAACTTATTTGTCTGAGTAATAGTGACTAGTTAAAATTGATTATAGTTTTTTAATTTCATCGTGCTACACGTTAAAAAGTGTTTTTTTTTATTGTTACGTCTATACAGTTTCAGTTTGAAAAAAAAACTGAAAAGTAGATCCCACATACATTTCTACTAAAGTAACTCTCATCGCGAATAATTATATTAAATTTGATGATCGAAGCGATGCTTCCATCGTCAAGAGCTTTGGTTTATTACCATTATATTTGGTTTATTATCTCTGTAACCTCGAATCGCAAAAAATATTCTTATTTTTGTATGACAAAAACCTTTACTAAAAAAATAATGTGTAATTCAATATTCTGACAATTTCCATTAATAGTTAAGTATTTAAACTAATACAAGAAAATGAATTTAAAACGAAAAAAGCGTTTAATTTATTTTTTTGTAAAAAAAAAAGGTTGTAAAAAAATTGCTTAAACATTTTAAATCATACATGTTTTGGAATTTTACAATTATTGAATACATTATTGAGAAAATCAATAAAAACTAACTTAAAAATTATGCAAAGTTTATGAAATTGGTTTTTATGGATTTTTTGGATGGGTGGATTTGCTTTTATGAGAATAATAATAATAATAATAATATTGTACCACATTCACACAACGCCATCTAGTCCCAAACTAAGCAGAGCTTGTACTATGGGTACTAGACAACTGATAAAAATACATATATATATATTTTTTTTTGTAAATACATACTTATTATACATAGAAACACCCAGAACAAATCAAACATTAAATGTTCATGCACACAAATGTTCGACTTGAGCGGGAATCGAACCCGCGACCTTTAGGAATAGCAGGCCGTTACACAAACCACTACCAGAATCAAAGCTGATAGTATCTGAAAATTAAAACGGTAATTACTTTTAAACGAATAGTGATTATTTTATATTTTTTAGTAAGCACATACATGCTTGAGTTATGTCCTTTCAGATATTTTAAAAAGTGTTCCGTTTATTGAACACCCGACATATTTAAAGTGGGCAATGTAAGTTTTTCATCAAGTCCCATTTATGTAGCTATTTTTAAGTTTTAACTTTAAACTAAAACCTCTTCTTATGTTATCCATTGTTATTTTTACCGGAATCGGATAACTTAACACTTTGGGGTTATGAAAATTAATAAGTAAAAAGAGTGCTATTTACCCGTAAGCAAATTGAATAAGTATCAATCGATACAACTTTGTAACATATATCGTCATATATTAGAATAATGCTATAAAAGACCACATATAAAATTAAATGGCAGTGAAAAGGTAGATATATGTTGTTAGGTAATGTAATTGATGACTGAATTAACGAAATAGGAAATAATTTTATACTAAAGTAAAATAGTCATAAAACCCAAACAATGTTTACAAACAGTATAAAAATATGAATATTAATGTCCGTTATTGTCCAATCGAACAAGTGCAAATCACCTGCGTCAGGGTTACTCTCATCGAACTTCCGTATATTGTGGCGTATGCACTTTGGGACTCCAACAAGACTGCTGTAGAACAGAGGTGCTATTATATGTATAGTGATAATCATTGTGTTACGTTTACGTACGTATGCGTCACCGTCTTCTTGTCAGAAGGACGAGTTGCCTACAAACGGACTCATTACCTCCCCAGTGACCATTCTCAATTACAATACAAAAACTCCCACGGTTTATAAAGGTTGGAACGTACGCACGCGTACACAGAGCGCATCTCCACTCATTACGTATCACAAGTGTCGGTGATTGACTAAAACAGTCGTGAAACTTAATATCATCATATTAAGTTTGTTTCCCATTCTCTATCGCCGTAAGTATTGACCCTTTTTTTTTCTTAGCCGAGTACACTAAAAACATAATTCCACTTTTTTAAATATTCTGAAAATTAAGGTGTGCAATATAGATACTTGATGATAACATTTAATTTATATTTAATTTAATAATATCTATTATTCTATTCTTTTCTATTTCTTAATAAACGTAATTGATTAAGTATTCTGCAGACACAAATTAATCCACAATGGCTTTTATTTTATATTAATTCGTAAGGAGCCTAATATTATCTACATGTAGGTCTTCATAAAAAAGTAAAGTAATAAAAAAGACAACTTATTCTTATTAATTTTACGCATTTGTATTTGCTATATTATTCTCATATTAATATTGATTTCTGTTTTACGTTTTTACTTGATAAACGACTTTGCGATGAGACTGAGATGACATACCTATTCGACATAAAATATATATATATTTTTATCACAATGTAAAAATGGATTTTATGATATAGCATTATGCTGAAATAAATAGGAGTAAACTTCAATTATTTTTTAAGACAAATAGTTTCACGTACATGGCATAGTAAAACATTACCTTTTTTAGATAATTTAAAATAACATCCCATTACTCAATTGATTTTGTACAATGTACATACTTAAGGTATTTTTTGTGGCATTCAAAATCTACCCAGATCAAGTTAAAGGCCCTATGTCTGAAAATATTAACGTATTAAGAGATTTAGATTTTACACACTGCACATTTTACTTTTTGTTACTCCATAGGGCCCGAACAAAGACTCACAAAACTCGTTAACTACATACCGTCTTGCACAAACATAAATGCACATGTTAAATGGTATTCGTAATACCCTTAATTCATTCCAAAAGATTAGATGAATTTTCATCAAATATATTTTTATTCCGTCTGGCCAGTAGTGGTACAGTAGGCCAAACCTCCTTTCTAAAGAGAGGAATATGTTCAACAGTTGACAGTTGACTATTAAAGGCTGTTGATGTGTGACGATGATGATACTTTTTATTCATAGCTTTATTTATAGCATATATAGATTTTACAGACAAAATCGCTAGTAGGAGCATAAAAACCTACTAAGAAGTTTCTATAACTCATTGTGATCTACTACAGAGTCTTTTAAGGTTTTATCACCAGGTTATACCCTACCGTTTTTTTTTTTTTATTACTTAATCCACAAAATGTACAATGGCGGACTAAATCATAGGCCCTCTCAACCAGGCTAACCGTGCAAGGTGCTGCACTTTAGTTAGGAATTTTAAATTAAACAAAAAAATAACTAAATATCAGGAAATACCGTCTAGCACAATAGAATATATCGATAGATACACAACAAGAGAACAAACATATAACAGAACACCTACACTAAAATATTAAATTTGTGATGATAGAATGCTATACTTTGCGTGAGAAGAGTTTCTACCTTCGCTTTGAACGAGTGACTATTTTTCATAATAAAATAAAACTACATTTCTCCTCAAGTCTTGCAAGGCCATAAATATCAGTTTATGTAGATAATTACTTTTTCTAATATTGCCATCTGTAATTCTGACTCATACAATAAGAACATAATAATACCTATACAATCAATTCAGTTCGGTTCAGTACTTCATTGCATACAATTAAATTATAATTGAAATATACAAAGATCATTGAAAACCCTGATGGTCACAGCAATAAGGCTATTAGGGCATCGAAACTGTAAACCAAAGGGTTTTAAAAATCATTGTTCTTTTGTACTTTTTACTCGCAAAATTCTGGCAAGTTTCCTAAATTCGAGACGAGACTTTTTTGTTGGAATACGTTAATGTACAGCTTCATTGCGTTTTTAAGACTCAAGATTCGAAATATAAATAATTTATAACATGAGCGATTAGAAAATAGCTATTGTCAGGTTTGTTAAGCTATAAACCTGAGCAAGGAATATAAAACTCATGGCCACTCTCTGGTAGTGTAACCAAAACTAGTGTTTTTAGCATCTAGGTAGGAAATTTAGGTATTTTTTATAAAATCAGGCTGCAACTAATCCTAGAATGATAATATCTTTTATACATCAAGAACAGTAGTAATAAAAAAATCGAAGACAAATGAAACTGTGGCACACCTATAATTAATAGATATCTTACTATCACGCAACTCTACATTATGTACTTAATATCTTTCTTCATTTTTTACGGATAGATATTAGACGCAACTCATTAATTGTCCATACATCTAGAAACGATTTTTTAAATTAAAAATTTAATTTAATCTCAAATTACATATACCTACGCAGGTGTTTTAAACCACCTCCTTTTGCCAACCATAATTCGATCCCATTGACATAATAGGTAGGCAAGACACAGATTGTCACATCAACAGGCTTTAATAGTCAACTGCTGGACATAGGCCTCTCCTTAGAAACTAGGTTTTGGCCTACTATACCACTCTGGCCAGACGGGTTGGTATAGGGATTGTGTCAAGGATGTCCTTCTCTTTGCAGTGCTGTAATTGTCCTGCGTAGTTTGCTCCCTTAGTCGGCTCTTACGACAAGCATGGAATGAATAGGGGTGTTGACACTCCGTATTATTAATTCGACACCACACGTGTTTATTTGAACATACCACCGATTTAAAAAACACAGATAAATATAAATTTTAGAATAAAAAATGGGAATATATTAATATGGTCGAGAACAGTAAGGGCAATAGCAGGATAAGGATAAATTAACAACCATATTTTATAAAACCCCCATTTAATCTCTTATAGGGTTGGTTTTGAAAAGATAAAAAATAGGTGTCTAACTATTATTATTTTTAAAAGAGAATATAATTATACTGAGAGTTTGCATACGATTAGTTAAAAAAAATTGTTACCTGTACAAACTTGCACCCTTATTTAGTTTTAAAAAAAATTAACAAGGTTTTTTACTACTTTTAATAAAGAGTAGGTATTTCCGGTGGGTTTGAAAATGCTACTACCAAAACTAACGAAGCGTTATATAAATTTCAAACCCCCATTTTACACCCTTATGGGTGGAATTTTTTTAAATCCTTTCTAAGTGCACACCTGAGTTACCTTAGGAACATTTGTACAAAATTTAATGATTCTTAACATAGCGGTTACAGCTGAACGTTGATCGATTAGTCAGCCAATCAGTTTGTCAGTTTCTTCTTTTATAGATATAGATAAAATTATTTACTTTTATCAATTCTAAAACTGAAATTTCTGTTACATTGAAATTTCAATTACTACCTCATCTTAAACTTCTTATATAAATACTGAGAATTAATAAATCCTAGATGGCCACTTAACCTAACGTCATACTTGTTACATAATTTCGAATTAACAAAATTATATGAACGAAATGGTATTTCAATACTTTCGAAATCATACGCCTTTAGTGAAAGTAAATCGCATAAGATATTCGTAGATCTGTTTTTTGCTAAATACACTTTTACTTTACACTTAACTTGCATAATTATAGTCTAGAATGAGCATATATTTAGGCAACTACAATGAATTAGCATATACAATATTATTTAATAACTTTTAATACAAAAGTACAACTTAACATAAACAAATAAACTACAATTTCTTAAAAGAACTAAAGTTAGCTGTGGCTTTATTGCGTTTGTCATATTCTTAAGGAAGTAATTTAATAAAATTGTCTCTCATTAAAAATATAGGAACGCTCACCATTCCGCCGTCACAGCGGTGATCTAAACATTTTTTTATAAATGCAGCCTGGTTTGTATTGTTTTGTCATTTTCAGTAGGTACATCAGTAAGTACCTACAAATATTTACTCAAATACTCAAGAACTATTTTTGTAATAAACAAATAAAACATTTTATTGCGACGGAATGTGTTAGAAACAGAATGTACTTATAGTCTATATTATTAGTATTGTTAGTAAGGACACTTGACACTTATTAGTAGAAAGTATTCATCTAGGTACGCGAAGGAAATGACAATAGGGTCATTTCCACTTCCCACACGGGGGGGTCTACCTGTTGTTGTAGATGGCCCGAGGTATGTCGGGGAACCAGGGACTTCCTTTCTAGGGTATACCTGGTTCCCCGGTTATTAGTACCCGAGACGGCGTGCGGTTTTAGTCGGTTCGAGTCCGACATGCCACCGATAGGTGGTATCCGAGGGGATTTCAAAAGGGTCATTTCCACCAAGTGCCTTTGTATAGGACAGCCTGGATCTTATAAAAGTAGGGGTAGTTACAAGAAAAGCCTATAAACCTGCATTTCATGTTCCAGACTAAGGCTTTCCCCGTAAATGATTTCGAGCAATCTCTCGTGTTATTTACGACGATTAGCTGTAAACTCGGAGATCTTTGTTAGCGCATTACGTGGAATCTGGAAACGTCATGAATGCTCTTCAAACATTAACATTATCTTCATTTAAATCATTATAGATCAAATTCTTACGTCGTCGGCAACTGTTGAACGTAGTTACATAATACTCGTATAAGTCGGTATTAGGTACTTTACTATTGCTGATGCAAAGACGACGAGTACTTAAACTATTTTGTACAACATTATCTGAACAACCTAATCGCAAGTTTTTATATTTTAAGAGGAGTTAATACGCATTTCCTATTTCTATTATTTCGTGTCTGTATTTGGGGAGTAAATAACATATGTTTAAACGACAATAAAGAAAAACATCTACTTACGAAAACTGCATTTAGACTTGAACCACAACAATGAATCATTGAATATCTGTATGAATACATCCACACATGTGTCCATAATGGTTCCGTGAGAATAACACGGCTCAAAAGAAGTGATTATTATGCTTTTGAGGGTCAAAATGGTTGTTATACATGAATAACTTTACCTTCGACTTACTTAATAGAGAATTACTAAATACATAATTCCGGTAAATAAAACTTCATCAACAGCCTTTAATACTCCACTGCTGGACTCCTCTCTTTAGAAAGGGGGTTTTGGCAAGCTGTACCACGCTAGCCAGACGGATTGGTATAGGGTTTGTGTCAAGTTTTCCTTCGTCGTTTGTTCCCTTTGTCGGCTCTTACGACACCCACGAAATGAATAGGGGTAGTGACACTCCGTATTCTTAAACCGTCACCACACACAAAAAAAACTTACACTCTAAGTATGGTTTTGATCGAGAACTTAATTTTAGACAAAATCTACAAACAATTTTCTCTTAGCAACAAGGATAATTAAATGTGGATTCATATAACATTAAGACTGGAAAAGTTCAGTTTATGTTATGCGAGTATACTTACAGTTTAAAAGTCTATCTGAAACGATCACTTCTAGAGAAGACTACCTCTTCATTGGAACTAATATTGATGAAAATTTTATTTTAAAATTAATTGTAATTCAATAATGTGATAAATAATATTCCATTGTTTTGAGCACTGTTATTGATTGTTTTTATTCTATTCGAAGCTCTTTGATGCAGTTTTGGATGCGAAATGCGACGAGATCCAGTGTCAAGAACACTCTTGGTTTTACAAAATCTAATCAGCCATTTAAAGATGCCAAACTTGTGTGTGAAGATTGTGATTTAATTTTTATTTGTCGTTGATAAATAAATTGTATTTTAAGTCTTATCTGTGGTGTAACCGACAAAAAGTAATAAACTGCTTGTGAAGAGTTAGGTGCTTGTAAATTATAACAGACATGAAGACAAATTGATTTACACACACTTTTTCGCTCGACTAATTGGAATAATAATCGAGGAGACAATCTTAATATCACCAAAATCTAAATTAATTATGTAATCATTATTGACTTTTGCCCTAACATACTTTGGATAGTAGTAACGTGTGCGATCTACATCGCTTCCTAAAAATACTAACTTGATATTTAAACATAGTAGGTAGGTACTATACGAGTACAAGTCAGTACAACAGCATTCCTATGTTTACTCTATCTCTTTTCCTTCAACAGATGATATTCCGTATACACATACTTATGTTGGGAGCAGTCGTTTTGTTGGAGCTCACATATGCTGCTCCCGCAAAAGAAGTTCGAGTCTCCGACAAAACTGTTTCTGGCTCTCAACCCTTAAGTGAAGAAAAAGATGATCTCAAAACCGCAGCTAGTAGTTGTATGTATAAAAGTTATTACCTTCATATAGAAATATATTTGTAATATGTCATGAGCCCGCAATGCTACGGCGGAACGCTCATACGCAGGCGCTGCGGGCGTGGTAAGCACGGCTCGAAATCCAGGGCTGTGGTAGCCGACGCGCCGTCGGAGCTGTTCTGCCGTGCTTCGAAGTGTGGGTAGGGAGGAACAACTGTGTCAACTACCGATTGACTCATGTGCTCACCGGGCACGGTTGCTTCGGTGGGTATTTGAATCGAATCGGACGGGAGGTCACGGCACAATGCCACCACTGTGGGTCCGACAGGGACTCCGCCCAGCACACGCTGGCAGACTGCCCTGCATGGTTGTTCGAGCGTCGAGTCCTGGTCGGACAGATTGGACGAAAGTTGTCACCACGTTGGTCGCGGCAATGCTTGCGAGTGGCGAGGAATCGGCAGCCGCGGTCTATTCTTCGAGGACGTTATACTCCAAAAATGGGCGCAGAGCGGGATCGAAAAAGGGGCCGATCCCGCTCGAAGGAGGCGGCGAAGGGAACGCGGCAGAAGTCGCTACCTTGGGAGCTAAGGGTCGCTGCGGCTACATCTTGAGGTGATATGGCCGCTGCAAACGATCCGAGGCAGGTGACACTCCGGTGCAGCTAGGAGTTTGTCGTCTTACTGTGTAGAGCGGTGAAGGGCGCGGCAGCATCCGATGTGCCTCAATCGTGGGGTACGGCAGGGGGGACTTCAGAAGCCGCTGATACGTTCCTGGAGCTCCTCCAGACTGCCGAGTCAGGCCGCCGCGGGGTTTAGTGGGTAGACCGGTTCTCCGGTAGTCTCACACACGTCCTACGTACCCAACGGAGGATATGGTGCGAAAAGCATTCCCCGCGTAAAACAAAAGGTGTAATATATAGGTAGATGTGTGCGTTACCCCAACAAAATAATGTCGAAAATGGTCATTTAAACGGTATAGATAATTAGTTGCTCCTCTTCTGTAAATGTTAGGCACATTTTTAAATTTGTTTCACTTAAACTTTTTAGTTATTTCAAAAAAACACTTCCTGCTGGGGTAACGTTTGAAACGTTACCGCAGCCAGACATTTTCTTTTTTAATTGTAATATTGAAATAAATGTTAGCTAAATAATTAGTTATCTGGACTAGGTAAATGTTACAACTTATTTGGTATTTGTATTTTCTTCGGCTGCGAAGTTATTCGAGATCCTGCTGGAGTAACGTTTGTGGGTTTGCTGGATCTCTGAAACGGGTAAACGGATTGTAACCATCTTTTGTACATAACTTCTTAAGGATTAGTTTTAATTTGTTCGACAATAAAATAACAAAAATAATGGACCGTTTAAAAATTATTTAGGTAAGTATGAAAACACTTCAATACGTCCTAACTCTTTGAATAAGACCTCTAAAGACTTACTTCAAACGTTATTCTATTGCTTGTAACTACCTTCAAATGTATACGAATTTTCGTAAGAATACTGTAAGTGACTAAAAAGTTATGATGAAATGTAGCTCTCCACGTTCACGATCACAATGTGTGCGGCCTTTTTTGGCCACCGATAAACCTGTGTGTGGATATATAAACTGAATGTTATGCCAATAATTAGTTGTCTACCTGTAAAATTTCAGCGTAGTACATATAATAATTTACGAGATAATTAAATAAAAGTCATTAGAAGGTGCAAGTCCGTGGTAATCCGACCATGTTTAGGTGGTTACAAAAAAGCGATCACCCAGTACATTGCGCTGTCTTTAAAAATGTTTAGTGTAATACACCTTACGATTTCGGTACAGTTGCGTACAGTGTTAAATACATTAAATATTTATTCATTATTATTACCTATTATTTATTTTGTTTTTTTTTCCTAATTGATCTCAAGCACTAGATTCTTCACTTAAATTTTTTTTAGTCTTTTTAACTACCGGAGCTACAATCAACAGAAAATCTGCACTGGCCCGCTAAAATTATAAATATGTAGATACATGTATGAACGGTTCACCTGACTGCAATAAATCGAAAATTTAAACCAATAAGAAATCGTTTCATTTCTTTGATTTTTTTTTGTAAAGAAATAACACTAAAGTAATTGTATTTTATTTTGAGGTGTATAGAGCTTAGACTTGAATGCATCAAAATATTTAAAGCAACAAGTCATCTACAATAAGTTAAAATAGACCAGCTAATAACTTCGCAGCCGAAGAAAATACAAATACCAAATAAGTTGTAACATTTACCTAGTCCAGATAACTAATTATTTAGCTAACATTTATTTCAATATTACAATTAAAAAAGAAAATGGTTGGCTGCGGTAACGTTTCAAACGTTACCCCAGCAGGAAGTGTTTTTTTTTAAATACCTAAAAAAGTTTAAGTGAAACAAATTTAAAAATGTGACTAACAATTACAGAAGGGGAGCAACTAATTATCTATAACGTTTAAATGACCATTTTCGACATTATTTTGCTGGGGTAACGCACACTAGGTAGATATAAAAGCAGTCTGTACAAAGAAATCGCATATATTCTGAAAGTTCTCCTATCTTTAGCATTGTTCCATCTTATGTTTGTGCTGTGACAAAAGAATTATTTTCTGTTTTCCTATAGCTTTGCACTTTTTTTTCAGATCCTGATCGCTATTCAGACTGGGGTCGTGGTTATTCCAGTGGTTACGGAGCTGCCGGTTACGGTTCTTTAGACGATAGGTATGCAGGAAATGGTGAATACGACAATTCCTACGGGTATGGTGGTTTTGATGGAGATAACCAGAGATATGGCAGCGGTGGCTACTCATCCGGCACTGCAGGGTACGGCGGTTACCGAGGTGGATATGGAGGAACATCTGGCTACAGCGGCAACGGTGGTTACGGCGGTTACAGCGCCAACGCTGGTTATGGTGGTTACAGCGCCAACGTTGGTTATGGTGGTTACAGCGCCAACGCTGGTTATGGTGGTTACGGCGGTTATTCTGGCAACGGTGGACTTAATTCTTACTATGGTTACAACAACCCTTACTACCAAAGTGGTAATAACCACTTAGGATACGGTTATTATAGAAGGCCTGGTTATGGCAATATTTATAATAGCGGCATTACTCCCAGCCTAGTAACTGGATATAGAGGTTATTCTAGAAAATGAAGCCGATTATTTTAAAATTATTTATTTAGTGAGTTACCAAAGTACATCCAAAGTTATAATATTAAGTAAATAATCTTTTACCTTATGTCATGGTTATACCGTTATGAATTGTAATGTATTTATATTATCGCAATAATAAAATATTTTACACACATTTGTTTGTAAATTAACCAACCTACAAAAATAAAACGATGCACATTTAAAATCTTTATTACTAACAATGTGACATACACGTATTCTTAGTCATACATGTTAATTCATTTTATTTTTAATCGTAACATACCGTAAAATAAAGACAATTATTTTTAGCCATTGAAACTTATTAGTTAGTTTCGTAATCACGGTGGACGATAAATTATGGGCTAGTCGGAACCTGAAACACTAGTTTGCTTTTTCATCGACTTCAATGCTCTCTCACGAAGTTTTTTTTCTAAATCTTCGTTATTTACCTTTCCTTCCTCTTCTTCTTCCTCAGCTTCTTCACTGTCTGAGGAGTCTTCCTTCTTTTTAGACGATTTCTTATGTTTTTTGTGTTTCTTATGCTTTTTAGAATGTTTTTTATGTTTTTTAGCTTTCTTGGACTTTTTAGGTTCATCACTGTCAGAGTCCGAATCGGAATCAGAAACTTTCTTCCTTGGCTTTTTTTTGGACACCTGGTCACTGTCAGAAGAAGACTCTTCCTTTTCGCGTTTCTTTGCTTTCTTTTCAGTATCATCTCGTGATGATTTGGATTTCACATCTTCGGAGTGTTTTGTTTTAATTGTTTTATCTTCAGTTTTTCTGCCCTTAGTTACTTCTGGTGAAGCTGGGCGTTCTTTAGTAGATTCTACTTTTTTACTGCGCCTAACATCTTTCTCTGAGCTTGACGAGTCTCGTTTTGACACCTTTTTCTTGGTTGTCTTTTCATCACTATCAGAACTGTCATCATGAGAATCTTCGGAATTCTCAATTTTCTTTGATTTGCTTTGCTTGCTATCAGGTTTTTCAGAGCGCGTATGTTCAACACTGGCATCTTTATTACGCTTCTTAGACTTCTTGTCTGCATCAGATTCGCCTGGAACATTCTTTTGTTTAGATTTAGAACTCTTATGCTTAACCTCTTCTTCGGAAGTGGATTCTGAGCTTGAAGATCGCGCTCGCTTCTTGCGAGATTTCTTAGTCACTTTCTTCTTAGCATTCTTTTTACTCTTCTTTTTTCTGTCGTCTTCTGAGTCACTGGAAGAACTTTCTTCAGAATCGCTTTCACTCGAAGAGCTCTCTTTTTTAGGTTTCTTAGCTCGTTTAGAAGTAGATTTTTCCTTACGTTTGACCTTCGATTTGGATTTGGATTTCGCAACTTCCTCACTACTTTCACTGTCTGAATCAGATTGCTGCGCTTTGCGTTTTCCTTTCTTTGCTTCTCTGTTCTTAGTTTCTTCTTCGTTTTGCTCTTTACCTGATGCATCATCAGCAGACTTCTCAGTCTTTTTGTTTTCAATTTCATGCTTACGTAGGAATGGTGAAGGAGTACGTGATAAACTCCTAGAATACTCGCGTAAATGAGGAATGACAACAATGTCTTCTTTTTCTTCGTCCTCAGAGGAATGTCCAGGTTTAGAGTCATCATGATCCCTGTCATTATTTTGTGGAGCTGACTTCTCATTGGCCACTGACGACTCCCTGCTTGAGCTAGACACAACTCGTTCTTTAGACTGTTCGCGTGGCAATGAGACACGTTCCGACGACTTCTTACGAGTCTTTTCTAAGTTTTCTGCAACAATTAAATAAACTCACTTCAAAAATCAAATACTGAATCTAGATACAACAACAATATGCCACGTGAATGAGTTATAAATGTTTTTGAAATTTAGGTATCTCATTTATTAAATACATATTTGAAGATTATGATGCCTGTTGCCTGTCTGTTTCGCAGTAAAATATTCAGGCTTTGCTGCGTATGTTCAGCACTACAATATTCAACATATAAAATTACAATCATGGTGACTTTAAAATAGAAAGGAAACTAACACATAATTTTAGTTAAATAAAATTTCAAAAAAGATTGTATTTCTGCAACATAACTAGAAATGAAGTAAAAGGTATACTAACCCTTACGAGGTATGGAAACAGATTTTTCTAATCGCTCTTTGATTAAATCACTGGATCGCCTATCACGTGATTTTCTGTCCCTTGATCTGGTATCCTTGATGCGGTCTTTAGATCTTCTATCCCTGAAGTTAATATGTTAATAGAGTACAGGGAAATGAAAATAAATATTGTACAACTATGTTGCAACACAAACATTAACATAAAAAACATCATTTATACCATACCTAGATCTATCCTGCGAGCGCTTATCTCTAGAAGCAGGTCTGCGATCTCTGGAGCGGCGGTCACGTGAGCGACGTCCGGAGCGGCGACGCGACAAAGAACGCCTACGGGACCTAGAGCGACGACGATCGCGAGACCTATTCAATATTAAACGACTATCAATCAGCCTAATAGGACCGTAAACATTATGAACAATAAAGAACCATCACAGCCTTAGTTTAATTAGGAGCTTACCTATCCCTTGAACGTCTGCGGGTACGAGAATCAGATCGCCTGCGTCTTTCCAATGAACGACGACGTTCTCTTGATCTAAAACATGAATTTGATGTTATATTACATTTTTCAAAACGCAATGTTAAAATTACTAAGGGCCAAAAAAAACTTTAAAGTTACAACTTTAAATGACTGAGTTTAAAAAAATAAAACAAAATAAAATCGTTTTGGTAACCGATTGAAATAGAGTAATCATTCGCTCCGTAATTAGAGTTTGTTAAATAATAAATACTTTTATTAAATTTCTTGAAATAGATATAATTTGTAGAGTACACTGATATTGTTCACCGACCTCTCCCGACGTTCTCTCTCACGTCGTCTACGTTCTCTCTCTCGTTCTCTTTCACGCTCACGTTCCCGTTCTCTTTCACGTCGATCCAGCGACCGGCGGCGACTGCTGCGGCGACGAGATTTACTTCTGCACAAACCCAAAATGCTTTACTATACCTTTTACATTTTTATTAATTACTATTTGGCGACTCGTTGGTGACAACCATTGTTATTGGTACATTTTCAGACTATTGTTTACAGGGGCCCTAGTGTGGGTTTATTTCACGTCAACTCGCTCTTGACGGCGACCGCGTTGCGATTGGTGAAGAGTTCTGAGGGCCTAGTGCAAGTTTATTTCACATCAACTTACTCTCGGCAGCGAGCACGTTCGGCGTTGTGATTAGTGAAGATTTCAGTAAGGGCCAATCGCAGGGCCGAACGCCGGCCACCGTGACGTTCGAGTAGATGTGAAATTAACTTAGGCCTCAGTGCGGGCCAATCGTACGCCAAACAATAAAGAACCATCACCGCGGTCACCGTGATGATCAAATAGATGTGAAATCAACTTACACTAGGTGCCTGTCCAGGGTCTACAATACCACTAAAAACCACCCAACCCACTAACTCACCTTTCACGTCGAGAACTTCGTCGCGGACTCACACTCGTGGAAGAATCTCGGTTTGACCGATACTGGCGCTTCTTGTGGGATGATCTTTTCTTTGCACTGCCACCTAATTTAAAATCACATGAAATGAATATTTATCCTTGGATCCATATAATTAGATCACAAATGACTTGCATAGATACATACGTGATGAAGCGGACGTAGATCGTCTCTCACTAGAGGATCGTCTTTTCTCAACAGGCTTTACTTCCGTGCCTTTGTCATCTGCCGACCTTAAAGATTAGACAATATATTACACATAATAGTAACTACTATTAAACAATAGTAATAAGATTATTTCACAATAAACCACTTACTTCTCGGGTGAAGCGGATCTAGACTTCTGACCTTCATCTTCGGTTTTGTCATCTTTAGTGTCAATTTCCTTGCTCTCATCTTTACTTGTATCATTTGCCGTGCTATTGTTGACTTCTTCTTTAATTTCAATTTCTTCTTTCTTCTCAGGAGACTTACCGTTTTCTGGAACAAAGACTACCAAATTTACCTAATTCGTGACATTGGGGAAACTAAATAGCAGTTTATTAAAGTAAACAACTTATTATTAATCCAAAGATATCTCCCACCTTTAGGATCAGTTGCCTTGACTTCCTCAACATGCGAAGACTTCGACTGGCTGCTTCTTTCACGACTGCGCCTCCTCGAACGACGTGGGCTGCCTCCATTGCGGTGTCTAAGTAGTTCATAATAAATTAAGTCATATCAGTCAAAACAAGTTTTACTGTTATTAAATATGCTAAAGGCATGTGCTTACTTCCTGTCACCTGAACGGTCACGCGATCTGGATGATCGACGCCGTTCCCGCGAACGACGACGCGATCGCGACCTTGAGCGGGATCTACGACGGTCTTTATCCTTATCCTTCTGCTGCTCCTCCTATTAGAAGAAAATGAATATTACAATTGTAAAAACGTGTAATACATCTAAAAAGAAAAAACCTAAAACATTTTTAAATAAGGAGTTTAAGTAGTAAATGTGCCAAAAAATTGTAAGATTTGCATGCCTATTTAAATAAATATAGGATAATATAGGAGGGTTATGTTTTTCGAGTGTATTGTATGTATGTTTCTTTAACAAGTGTAGCATGTCCACTGCTGGACATAGGCCGCTCCTTAGAAAGGAGACACGCTGGCCAGACAGGTTGGTATACGGTTTGTTTCAAGTTTTCTTTCTCTTTGTAGTGCTGTTATCCTGCAGTGTACTCCCTTAGTCGGGTCTTACGAGACCCAAAGGATGAGTAGGGGTGGTGACACTCCGTATCCCAATGCCGTCGCCACACAGCCATTCTTGATTTTGTCTATTATTAGTTAATTAAAATAATTTACCATTCTCTTCTTTATTTCCTCCTTCTTTTGCTGGGTAAAGGTCTCCGGTATGCCATTTTCACTAGCTTGCGCACTCAACAATAACTCCCACAGTTCTCCCATGAACAGCCGTGCATTCTTCCCATTTAAGAATCCAGTCAAGTTGATCTGCATTTTCTTGGGACAAGGGAACTAGGATTTGAGGATACAGGATCGGGAAAGAAAAGATTTTATATTAATAATCTGTATCACATTCGTTATTTTACACCCTAACTTCCCTTGGATTTTATTTATGTATAATATGATCCATTTAATATTTGACAATTTAACAAAATAGGCTAAAAGGAAAATAAACAATGAAAAAGTCGTTAAGAGACCTGTAGAGTACAGTTTGATTTACAAAAACTCGCGTAGTAATGACTCGGGTAAGGAAGCTAGTGCTATGTACATGTAGAATTATGTTTGGTTAGTGGCGGCGCAGGAGCAGCGACGTCGAGGCCGGCTGCCACTCGCCAACGCCGCGACGCTCGGTGCTGCGACGTCGCAGGGTTGCCGCTCGCTCTCGCAGCGATGGCTTCTTCATTCTTTCTTCTACCTCTTGCATCTGTAAGGGTTTTGCGAACACAACCACATTATGCTGAACGCAAAGCCTAAAGACGGGACTTCCATACCTCGAGTCATAACAATCTCTTAACGACTTTAACAAATCTGGTTTTGATACATTATATGTATTATTTTATTCATGTCACAAGCTAGGGAGCTCCACTGCGTTTGTTGGTTTAGAGTTAGCATGGTTTAAGTATTTAATTTCCCCGTAAATACCGATTGAGAATGCTAAGGGCCTCCAAAAGAGCGGAGCCGGCGGGCGGCGGCGGCTAGCTGGCGGCAGCAGGTCTCAGGCGGCTTCGACGGCGCTCTAACCGGTGTGGACCATAAAAATATCCATACGCAATCAATATACATTTGACATTATTTTTCAATTGCAGTTTCTTTTGGCACAGTAACATATTATACAAACTATTTGCCAAACCTATTGAATAATACTAACTGTAAAGAAACTGCAATGATTACATTTCGTTATTAATATATTATAAGAATTAAAATATAGATAACTTACCTTTTCTTCAAGCTGGTTGTTGACATAGTCTATAACTACATCATCTTCCATCTTGAGGATTTCAGTGATCTTCTGTGTTATCCAGGGCTTCAGCACATCCAACTTCACTTTGGACATATCCACCTAAAGATATTGATTAGTCAATAACAAATTATATTTGTTAATGATATCTAAATAGACTAACATGTCACATGTACTGTATCAACCTCTGTGATATGTATTTAAGAAGATTTACTAGTCTGTGTATTATTTAATTATATAATTTTGTAATATTGTGCCTTTAATTTTTTTTAATATAATGAAGTCTTGAAGTTTAGATGTCAACCTTTCCAAATTTAAAGTGACTTGAAAGATAATCGTAAAAAAAATTATTCATCAAACATAATTACATTTAATCTACATTTAACAGTAATACTCCTAAACAAAGGATAGAATAATCCTCTCATGACAGCAGGACAATATAGTGAAAAGGTCTGTTCGGTTTTTTGCCCCTTTCTGCCTTTGTCCCTAAATTTAACACCCAGAGTAATTCATAGTTTTGTCTGCTTTTCAGAAATTGCTATTTTTATTCGATTTTTGTCCATATAAAGAATTTGCCTCTACTGGCCATTTATTTATTGTTTGTACAAGAAAATATATTTGCCCTATTTTGTACAGTGAGAAAAATTCACCATTTCTTAAAACAAAAACGAATTTTATAATAAGAAAAACATGGCTTAAACCTTAGTAATGCTTATGAAAATTTTATTTTCGTGAGTCTTGACTAACATTATATGCTGATTTTGTGCGTTATAAGATAATTAACAATCATTTCATTCAATTGAACAACAACAACCAAATATTTCAAACTCAAACTCTTTATTTATTTCATAAAAAAAAATTGTTTGAAATCGTCTTTTAATGTGACTCAAGTCATAGATCAACACACTCAAAAGCAACAATCTCTGTTTTTTTCAAATAGTAATCAAATAAATTTAACAGAAACCAAACCCATACAAAATCTATGATATGCCTGTGCCAATCTACAACTGCCCGTTTCCAAGGGGTTGAGCCTTATGAGAAGAAAGGGCAAACAAACTCATGGCCTCTCTTGTGCAATTCACAGATAGATACAATGGCACTATTAAATATACCACAACATTGTTTTGATGTGTGCCAGTATGTCCGTTATTAAGGACTAAAAGGTAAAAAGACAATGAAGAGGAAACAAGATTAATAAAAAACACAAATAAAAGAGAAAATGAAGTGAAACATAAAAAATTGAAAAATAATAATAATAAAAAACACACTGGCCACATCACATTTTTACTTAAGAAAGAAATAGCCTGCGCTAATTAATTAATCCCAAGCATTCCTGTCTTCCATGTAATCCAGAATTGAGTAGTAGGCCCTCTAGCACAAGCCACGTTTTATTGCAGATTTAAATTTAAAAAAAATAAAAATCAAATAAAAAGTGGGAATTTATAAAAATTGGGCAAATCTCTATGAATTACTCTGGTCTTTACATTTAGGGACAAAGGCAGAAAGGGGGGCAAAAAACAGGGGGGCAGTGAAAAATATGATACTGCTAACAAATACAGTACACGTTAGGCGGTGAGAAGCCAAATGGGGTTCAAAAACAAAGAGTGCTGCAATAGTTTGTTAATATCTACCTGTCTACTATCTGTTTACAAACTTGTAAGTACCAAAGCGCCTTTTGATGAATCATTTTTAAGTTTAAAGCTTCTAATGAATTTAATAAAATAATAAACAGAAGTACCTATATAAACATTGACCATAATTATTATTACACAAGATGTCAAGAACATCATAAAACAGAAATTATTGTCTGACTATGTATCACCAAAACTTTTCACAGCAGTTTTAGAGGAAGTAATAGAGAAGTTTGTTGTGGGGCTTGCAGAATCAAGAGAAAATTCACAAGCTGGGACTTTACAACCCAAGCCAATTAAAAGATAATGAGAATACAGAACTGGAGTTCTGGCAGGTTTTGTTTGTTTGTTTGATACACTTTCATGCCTCAACTACAGATTATCATGATTTTTGTGTTTACATTGCCAGGGGTATAGAATTGATCAGGGTACTTGGAAGCCTTTTATCCATGGAAAGTTCTGGTTACAAATTATATATATATATATAAGGATAAGGATATAAAAAGAACCCTATAATATGAGACTAGCAAAAGCTAAACTAAGAATGGGGCAGGAAGATCCAGATATTAATAGTGGCAGATTGTTAACTAAATTAGCTGGGAATCAACTTTCCTTCTGTTGAGGTAAGCCTGTACCAGAATTCAAACAGATAAAAGTACTTAGGTATATTAAATACATAATTAAAAAAAAACAAGATACGCCCGAAAAACATAACCTTTCCCTGTAAATTAGGTACTTAAATGCTGTTTTAAATGATCTAAGTATTAAAATAGTTTTTAAAATCAAAATATTACCTGCTGTGTTAAACAATCTCCGAACTTCATTTGCTTCATTAGCTTCTTCTCCTTATCACTAAAGCGAGTGTCCTGCTCCGTACTCGTCCCCTTTAATACAATGAACATAAAGTGGAAATGATATCATTTTAACAAATAAAGAATGCTGTAGTTTATAACATGACGCTGTTTTTAAATAAACAGTAAAATAGCCTAAAAGTATAATGGCGTTAACACATATTATTAAAACCCTCTTTAAGATGAATCCTAACCTATTACATACAAGTAAAGCAATAAACATTTTATTCCCAAGATACATTGAGTATTGGCTATACGGAGACCGTAGAGACTTTATATTGTAAGAAACTTAATGTTGTAGGATTGGTGCTATATGAGTGATTTATTCACTATAAATATATAGAAAATATTCCACAACTATGCTATAAACGATTGTACTTTAGCATACACTTAGACGAAGTAGTTTCTTAAAACAATGCAAGAGAAATTAATAAACTTCCTTACCGTGTACATCATCATTTTGGTGTGGAATTATAAAATCAATAATTCCCACGATGGAGCCTCGTAAAGGCGTAGGGTGAATATCCCCGAGGCGGGAGACGCCAAAATTTTTCTTCACTTGTATACTGCTAATCGGCTTTACTAATATCCAAACAGTAAGTATGATATTTTCTGAAAAGAAACAAAAGCACGTCACTCTACATTCTAATCAAATAGAACTATAATATAACAAAATTAACAATATAGTAAAATGTGACTAACCGCCATATTGAAGCAGTCTCTTTCTATGACCAAGCCAGTGTTGCCGTGCAAAAATTACCGTTCTAACCTAATGTCAAAACTACCAGTAATCAGTAATTAATTACCAAACAGTACAAGAACAGCCATTAGCCATAGAATAGATTTTTTTAAATTAAATGTTTGAATACATAACAAAGGAACTACTAACCCTAACCAACCTAACTAACCTATTTTCTTAATCTGTAAAAACCATTCTTGGATCAAAAAAATCCTTTAATTTGTTTCATTACGAATATGTTGTTCAGACATTGGTCTTTTTTAAAACTTGCTTTAAAACACCATATTTACAACTATTTGTTTTTTAATTATATAGATAAAATAATTTGTTCTAACAGTGATGAACTTTGTTTTACTTCTAACTTCATCATCATCATCAGCGTATCGCATTCCGCTGCTGGACATAGGCCTCTCCCATTGCACGTCACTTAGATCGATTTACTTCTAACTTATAACTTGAGAAACATAATTATGGCCGTCAAATGACAAACAAATGATTAATTATATTTATTTCTGTAAGTAAATCTTTTCAGATATTTTTAGAAGTCGGACTAGAAGGAGTCGGCATTTCCTAAGACTCACTCTGAAAAAAAACGCCGAAACAAACCACATATAGGTGTCTTTATTTTAGTCAGTAGACAAAGAAAAAGAACACTGTGCGAGTTAAGTATATACTAGGTCGTGGGGTATTCAGTGGCGTCTTGTTCGTGAAGGGTTGCTTCGGTCTTCACGCCGCCTCGGCGGTCAAGCAAGATCCAGGTGAGACCCCAGGCGATACCTGGGGAGGCCCAGCTCTGGGCGACCAGTGAACGAGGCGGCGACTTACTTGGGCCAAGTAGGCACAAGTGCTCGCGGGCCGCGGGGTGGCCGCAGCAACAACAACTGTAACAATGAATTTGTTTAGAAGGTATATCAATGTGGGTAGGTTCAAAATTTTTTTCAAGTAAAAATTTATGTGCCAAAAGTGTCGATGGGGGGTTCTTTTGAAAAGTGTTGGCGGAGCAGAGCGCTTACACTTCCCAGGTCAGCAGGGCAGCTTCGCCCTTGGTGCCGATGCGAACGACGGCGCCTTTGTTCTGCTCCTGGCTCATGGCGGCCAACAATTCTTAAAGCAGCTGTAGTGTGAAAAGGATAACAGCTTTTGTGCTGCTATCCTCTTCTGTCAGTAGGGCGTTTGTTCACCTGTGGGTGCTTTCGACTTGGTCCTCTTTGCCTCCCTTTTTCGGGGGACGATGGCATCGGTAGTAGCTGGGGTGTTGGCGGGCTGACCGGCGGACGGCCCTGGGTGTCCGCAGCGGAGATAGCGGACCTCTTATTTATTTATTTAAGGATCTTCAACAAGAATATCACATAGCATTGACAGAGAATAATAAATTATTGATCTGGTGTATTCTTAATTACAGAAGATCACAGCCTGCATTTAGAGTCAAACATAACATTTGGAATCAGAAATTACTATTACACAAATTAGAAGTAAATAAAGTAATGAAAATTGATTAAATTAACTTACTGTTAAATTCATTAAGTCAATTCAAACAATAATAACATTGCAAAAGTTAACCACTGATAATATGGTTAATAATTAAAAAGTCAAGATTATATACAGTACTCTCCTTGCCGCTCCTCTTTATACGCCCTCTCTTTGAAGAGGTGGATGTTCGGGGTGGTGCGGGGTTCGCTGCCGCCATAACCGACACCCCTTGCGCAATCTCACCGGTGTCGGCCCTTAGCGCTATTCACCGGTGACGGCGACCGTTCCCGCCTTCCTGTTTCGCTGTTCGCGTTGGAAGACGGGGCAGTGGGTGTTGTTGGCCAGGTGCTCTCCTCCGCAGTTGGCGCACGTAGCGGGCTCCTGCAGAGGCCTGGGGCAAATCGCAGCGGTGTGTTCATCGCCACACCGCACACATGCCTGTCTGCGGTGGCAGTGGTGGCTAGAGTGCCGAAATTTCTGGCAGCGGTGGCATTGTGCAGGCCTCTTCTTCCCGAGCCAGGCTTTGATTTTTACACCGGGGATTCCTGACATCTCTTCTATGTCGTATACCCCCGGTGTCAGGTTTGGTGTCCTCTTCATTATTGCGAGGAGAATGCACCCAGGTCGGTCGCCACGACCACGTATGTTACGCACATACTCGGGGTCATAGCCCATGTCTCTAAGCCCTAAGAGATACCCTCATTTTTCTCCAGCGCCGTGAGATAGCGCTGGACCAATCGGTACTCCTGTTCGTCCTTAGGAGAGAAGGCTTCTTTTCAGCTCCCTTATGTGGGTTGCCTAGTTCGGCAGCTGCTCCCCTATTAGCGGTGGTTAGCGGCGCCTGGGTTACGTAGCAGCGGTTTCTGTGGTATCGGTAGTGGAGGCAGCGGCGGGTGACGGGGACCTTACGGCCTGTGCATAAGGTATCAACCTGCCGTCCTGCGTCTTGCTGCTGCCTTCACCACCCGCTGGTAACGCTGTGAGTATAGCGGGGACCGCGCGCGGGGGGTGAGGCAAGGACGCTTGTTGTCATCGCAGTGCTCCACCTCTTCCGGGCTGCGTTGTCGTCGGGCGGGGGTAGGCGGCAGTTGGGCGTCCGTGTCCATTTCCCGCGTGGAGGCGGACAACGGAGGCGTTGGTATCGGCAGTCGTTGGTTGGCTAACCACTCCTTGATCTCCCTCTTTGCTTCGATGTTCATAGGGAGTGAATGGTAGGGAAGCGCATCTGAGGGGAGTTTGTGTTTCGTATTGCGGTATTGTAGCGGGGCCGGTGAGCCCATTGCTGCGTAACGCGGCGTCAAGTCCTCGCTCGAGGTCGTCGGCTCCGGCGACCTAGTAGCGCAACTCGCGACGCGCAGTTGCAGAGGGGCCCTTTGTCTTGGGCGATGCGCAAGCGCCTCCGGTTGGGACGTGGGTGCGCGGTGCTCACCCTCATGCTGAACGCTGGCAAGCGCATGTGCAGGTCGAGCCTGCGGAGCGCGAGGGGAGCCCGCGTCTCCCTCCTTTGGGTTGTTGGCGCGTTTCGCACGGTCTGCCCTAGGAGGTTAGTGGTTGTCGCTTGGCCGGAGCCAGGCGGCGCTGAGGTAACACAAGTTGCAAACAAACACAACAGATTCGCCGCTGAAAACCAACTCCGTTGGGCTGTGGTCGACCGACAATTATATCAGCACTGTTATGTTTGTTTGCCACTGCATAGGTGGGCGTACGTCTCCTGCTAACACTAAGGGCCGGGAGGCAAAGAACGAGTTCCGTGCAGGGAGCAACAGCTTCGGGCCCTTGGTCAGGCTTCGTCAGGTCAGGTCAGGAGTCTTCGGGAGCTGCGGAGGTGTTGCTTCGACGACGTCCGGGCGAATCCGGCCCAATGGATGATATTGGGAAGTTGTATAAATGCTAATCGGTGAGAGAATTATTCATGTCGCGATACAGGATTAGCAATTCTCATTCATGAGTTACTCCTTAGTTCGGTATGTCTTCGTTGGATGGCGCTGTAGTATGTTTCTTTGTTTCATCGTATGTGGTAGTTGCCACATCACTTACCTCCGAGAGCGGAGGTCGATATCTTGATGAGTCAGCTGTCTATGCCCTGTTGTGGAGCGTGCCAGTGCCAGTAGTGAGTAGTTCCAGTGAGTCGGAACTGAATGCCGCTAGTACCAGTGAGTCGAAACTGAGTGCCGCTAGTCTCAGTGAGTCGAGGATAAAGTCTGCTGATCCCAGTGAGCCGGGATTGTGTGCGGTGCTGCGGTGAAGTCCCAGTAAGTCGAGGCGGTGCTGCGTAGTGGCTGGCTGTTCCTCCACTCAACAATGATAGGAACATATTGTGGGACAAATGTGGGAGTGAGCAGCATCAATCCCAAGCAGCTTTTAACCACAAAGCTTTTTGCCAGACGGGTTGATGTAGGGTTTGTGTCAAGTTTTTCTTCTCATTGCAGTCCTGATTAGGACTAGGGGACCTGAGAGGAATAGGGCTCGTAACATTCCGTATTCTTAATGGTCCATACACGGATAATATAATCTTTTAGTATTAGTAAAATCACAAAAAATAGCTTCATGCTTAAGGGCAATTTTTTGTCGTATATCAATATACAATAGTATAATATATTTGCTTCATGATGTCCTAACCAACTATGTATATCGCTCCTATCAGGAAAACAACATTATTTTAAAATTGACCTTAGTTGAGTAGCGAACGATGGCCGTAGGGGCCTTAAAAGTCTCGAATGGCGACCGCGTAACAGAAAATGCAGCGGAGGTAGATAAGTAAAGGTTACGGAATTAGGCGATACATAGGCGAGCTAAGTAAATAGGCTTCCTTATTTTGATGGGCAAAATACCGGGATTAAATCTTTCAGTGGGTTTAAAACGGGATTAAACTCTTTTATTCCCTCCCACAGGGTTTTTTATTTGGGTGGTTATTGATTTTACTGTCATAATAGCCGTAAATGTTCATACTCTACTACTATACTACTACTATTCTCATATCTATTTGTTAAATTCTTATTACCTGAAACTGATTACTGCTGATTATAAAGAAAAGAAATGCTTCTGGAGCAAACACTTTGTTTAGTGTTGCCTAGGGGAAATTCAACCAGAAACCAGGTGGAAAGGTACATGCAGTTCTACAAAATTGAGTAAAGTGGCATTGAGAATTCTGACGGCATTATATAGATCTGTAGCCACAGAACAAAATGTTAAACGAAATCGTCTTACTGCGGAACGAGCTGCTAAAATAATTTTTATATCTGATAATTGGAATATATTAAATGATGTTTAAGTACCGATGAACAGGTATGTGAGACAACTCCTCAGAGAAGTTCACCGGTCAGAATTGACTTTAATCAAGGTGAGGTCGACGACGCATCATCTCAATGTATAACAACAAAACGTGAATATGAATTAGAATCAGTCGTTTGTGTCAATTCTGAGAGGTACTGATTTACATATTGCATGTTCATTTTGTTCAATAATTAGTATGTACTTATTTGTTTCAATTAATAAAATTAAACCCATCGTCAGAACAGAAAATATAAATCATTTCTAAAGAAAAAACAAAATCGGTTCAATAACGATAGAGTTCATTCGGGCGCAGATAAAACAAATAAGCATTTATTAAAAATTGATTCTCTTAAAATAGGTTGAAAAGTAAGGTGCTATGGCTATTGATACCTCTAATCACTGTTGGATTATAAAGCACTGAAAATTTCGAAACAGGTGAATTTTTTTCAACAAAAATATAACTTCTAGTTAAATACATAGAGTAACACGGTCTGCCGGTCGCCTGTGTTGCTGACGCAACGTTAAACATAAGATATAATGTTTAATGTTATTTTGAAGTGTGTAAAATCTAATTCTTATAATCTAATTATTAGGGTAGTAATGAGAGCGATGGTCGGACCGTGGACACGGCGCTCCACACGCTGGCAGAATGCCCGGCGTGGGTGGAGCAGAGGCGAGACCTCGTAGCGGCCATCGGAGTGGGAGTTCTCTCTATCGTGCGGAGTGAGAGAGTCCAACCTTCTGCGAGCAAGCTATGCTTGCGAAGGAGATGAATGGGCCAGGTACCACAGACGACTCAGGCGCCGGAGGTCGCATAACGACCTCCATAAGCGCAGGCCTGGGGGTGACAGGTAAGGCCATCTGTCACCCTAGCAGAAGCAGGCCGGGGTGGCGGCTGGCGGTTTTAGTCGGTTCCGCATAACTTCGTTAGTTTTTATGCTGGAGGCCTTTTTAAAACCCGTTTTAATGTACTTTAAATACTGTGAGCTCTTTCGTCGTAAAATGTACCGTTTTTTTGTAATGGAATGCTGTTATTTTTAAACATTTCGTTAAAAAAGTAAGGCTTACCTTCAATGAGCCATAACTTTGTTTGTATTGATCCTATATTTATAAAAAAAAAACATTTTTTTTATTAACTATAATTTGAAAATTACAGTTTTTTGATTAAAATCAACAATTTTGAGTTATTTGTAAAAATCCATTGAAAAACGTGGCGTGTTTCGATTGACATTTTCGATCAAGAATATCTCAATACCCATTGATTTTTCGAAAAACTTCTATTGAACAATCAATAGAAGAATGAACTATAAGCTTTAAAAGCTTATAGTTCATTCTTCTATTAATTCCTGTTTTCTTTTAAATACCACCCCCGGCAAATTACATTTACAATTACCCCCGGTATTCACCCCTAGCAAAAAACGCACATCGCCATAAGGTAGATTTTACATTTTGAGGTATCCTACTTACTGTCAAAATTTGAGCAAAATCATTCTTAAAATAATTTGTACCCAAAAACCGTATGACGGCTGAACTACTATTACATTAGTATATGAGTATACTACGTACTATTCAGCATACGATGGGCGCCAGCCGAGAACTGTATCAAACTGACAAAAATCGTTCGAAATTTAATTTTCAGTCCGTAGGTACTAGGTGTATTTCTGCTCTTGGAATATAATAATTGATAAGCGAGAATGAAAACCTCGCGATGAAATATTGCTGTGCGGACAGGCCCTACGCGTCATTTGGCTATAAAATGCTTACCGGCGCGCATCCACCTATAAGCTCATAGCCACTATACATATAAATATCTCTTAATATGTGCTCATAGGCCCGCCGGACTAGAGTGACAAAAAAGTCATGCTGACAAAGCGAAACACTTTCACTCAAGCGCGGAATGCCTTTTTTAAAATTTTCTATACAAATCACACCGGTGTTGTCAGACTAATCAAACGAATAATACGACTACGGAATATTATCTTAAAAAAAAAAACAAAATTAATTTTAACGGAAGTTTTGTTTATAAAAGTTTGGGTTGTTGATTCTATTGAACAGAAATGTTCAATTCAAAAGAGTTCTTTTAACTTTTTTAATGATATGGTAAGTACGTAGGTGTGTAATACTAAATACTATTATGGAAAAAGTAACAAAAAAACCCGTATTTAAAATTATTCTTAGTGCAGGACTTAGACGAGTCTTATTAGAAATTAACACGTGTCTGAATGTGACATGAAGATTATCAGTAGTTTACTTAAATGTGTCAAATTGCTGAACGAGTCAATAATTTCAAACTCATTAAAAATATATTTTTTTAATAGTAATCCCAAAAAGTAAATTTAAAATATGACAAATTACAATGATGATAGACAACATGAAAATGATAATATTTATTATTATGAATTTCTGTAACCCTTGTATTAGTTAATTATTGATCATCAAGATATTACATTTTTTGAATAAAGCTTAAGTTGTTTATTTGTTAACCTTGTCAACTAGTTTAAGTTAAAATACCTCTGGCTCAAATATCCTTTCAGTGGTCAGAAAGATCTTCGTGTTTATTTTTTGAATAACATCTTAGAACACTCCTTTTTTAAGTTACCTTTTAAATAAAAAAACTAAATCTTCAGTTTTCCAATATGAGAAGATTGGTTTATAGATACACAGATTTACAGAGACATACATGTACATCATCTTTCCTTCTTGTTATTTTGTCTTACAATAACCTATTCCTAAGTTATTTTATAAAGCTGATGTACAGCATGTGTACAAAATGACTTAGATATACTGGTATTGACCTCCAAAAATTTTTGTTCTTTTAATTAAAATAATTGTATTCAATGTTAAATTGCATAAGCTCAAGTTGTTGGCCTCTATTACAGATAACTGTGAACAATTGATAAAACCTGAACTCTGACATTGATGTAAGATATTTTCAAGCAACACCAATAAAACTCATTTTACACTCAGTATAAATTGTGTCATTAGTGTGTTAGCACTTTGTAGCATTTGAAATGGTCATATTAAGATTTTTTTCCTCTGAAGCATTCAGTGGTCATAGAACTAAGGAAATACTTGAGAAGTTAAAGATTGTTGATTCAGATATAGTGCAACTATCTACTGAACTTTGTTACCATGTGGAGCTCAATGCAGGTTGTGACCTTAACATTAATCAAATCAAAATTCTAAAGTGGCTTTTGAGCTCACCACTTCAGCCTCAAGCTCTTAACTATGAATCTATTTACAAGAAAGTACAAGGAAATCAGATTGTTATTGAGATTGGACCAAGGTATGTTTTTAAAGAACTTAGAATATAACTAATATTAGCAAGGTCAGATTCCATTGTATTTAAACCATTTTCATTACTGTTACAGATTTAATTTTTCTACAGCAGATTCTAGTAACTCAGTGCAGATTTGTGAAAGTGTTGGCTTGCAAGATGTTATCCGTCTGGAAGTTTCAACCAGATATCTTATCACATTCAGTAAGACCAAAAATATTACTGAAAAAATGTTGGAATCATTGGCAGCACCGTTACATGACAGGATGACTCAATGTATTTACACAAAGGAGAATCTACCTAGGAGTAGTTTTAATGAAGGCCTGCCAAAGGATTTGGAACCGTGGTTTGTGGTACCTCTTCAGAAAGAAGGCAGACCTGCAATGGAAAGAGTAAACCAAAAGCTAGGTCAGTAGCACAATTTTTCTCAAGTAAATAATAGTCTGAGTAAATATTATTAATGTTGGCAATTATTATTTCTAGGCTTAGCTTTTGACTCTTGGGATATGGACTTCTATACAGATCTTTTTGTTAACAAATTGAAACGTGACCCAACCAGTGTAGAATTATTTGACCTTGCCCAGAGTAACAGTGAGCATTCACGTCATTGGTTCTTCAAGGTGAAATATCTTTTGATTTCTTTCAACATAATATTCTAGAAATTAAACCATAACATGCAATTATTACCTAAATGTTATTTTGTATTATAGGGAAAAATACTTTTAGATGGCAAGGAAATAGAGGAGTCTCTAATTGATATGGTGGCATCAACTCAGAAGTCATCAAATAATAACAATGTTATTAAATTTGGTGATAATAGCAGGTTTGTGTATTTATGAAACTGTATTTTTAAAATGAAGCCGGGCTTTCTTTTAAGATAAATTTTGCTTTAGAACTCATGAATTGCAGGACTAGAAATTAAGAATATAATTTATAATTTTATACCATAAGTAATAATAAAATATGCACTTAATTAAAAACATTTTGTTACAAAAAAAAATCTTACCAACTAACTACTTCGTACTTACTTACCTAACTGAAATTTTTTCTTTACAATGTAGTGCCATCAAGGGTTTCAAACATATGAAACTAAGACCAACAAATGTGAGATACCCATCTCAAGTGGTTAAAGAAGAGACAGAGTCGGATATTATATTTACAGCTGAGACACATAACATGCCAACTGCAGTAGCACCATTCAGTGGTGCCACTACTGGAACAGGAGGACGTATAAGGGATGTACAGGGAGTGGGCCGTGGTGGTCATACTGTTGCTGGTACAGCAGGATACAGTGTGGGTAATCTCCACATACCTGGTAAGTAAAATGATTCTAACTCTTCTTTGGTTGTTTCTAAGGCTTTCTCGCCTAAATGTTGCATTCTATACCATCCAGAGAAAAAACTTTATTACAGCAAAATAACTTTAAGCCAGAAAAGCTACTTTAAAGTTCTTAATCATGGTTATTTTATTAGTTGTATTTTATGTCAGTTTTAATGTGTCTTGGTTTTTTTTACAGGATATGAGTTACCATGGGAGGAGAACTGGGAATATCCTAGCAATTTTGCTAGTCCACTACAAATTATAATTGAAGCTAGTAATGGTGCTTCTGACTATGGTAACAAGTTTGGAGAGCCAGTTATCTCAGGATTTGTTCAGTCTTATGGGTTGAAGAATGGAGACAATGTAAGGGAGGAGTTTGTCAAACCGATAATGTTCAGCGGTGGTATTGGATATATGCCTCATAACATGATTAAAAAGAATAAACCTGAAAAAGGTTTGAAACATTTTTTTAAATGTATTTTTTTTGTTTAATTGGTTTGAGTGTTCGAATGTTTACAAGTAAGTTATTGTTTTTAGGTATGTTCCTGGTAAAAGTTGGAGGACCCGTTTACCGTATTGGTGTAGGAGGCGGTGCTGCGTCTTCTGTAGCTGTCCAAGGTGGAGATTCTCGTGATCATTTGGACTTTGGTGCAGTACAAAGAGGTAAAATTCATAATTTTGTACTAAAGCAAAATTCTTTATTCTTCTTGAGATTAATACAATACCAAAAAATTTGGATGTAAAGTTCATTATCATATTGCTTTAAAAACTCAGAAATATATATGAGATTTGTATTATTACATATAGTTATTTTTTTATGTTTTTAATTAAGCTTTTTTTATTTTAGAGGTTCAAACTAAATTAACTACTCTATTTAGTTTTACGTATTCTACAATTTGTCTTGACACAAAACGATTTCTTTTTGTTGCGGTTTTCAATATGACTGTACCTTCATTATCTAACTAATTAGGGTAGATGCAACAGTATCTTAACTAAAAAACAGCATTCATCATACCATGTTACTATATCATTTTTTTTAATTATTTTATACAGGTGATGCCGAAATGGGAAATCGACTGAACAGAGTGGTTAGAGGATGTTTAGAAGCTGACATTAATCCTGTTGAATGTAAGTAGGAATAGAAATATCAATTTTTTCAACAGTGTTTTCAATCCATGCAATAACTAATTAAATATTTTACGCCATGACAACAGCAATCCACGACCAAGGCGCTGGTGGAAATGGCAATGTTCTTAAAGAACTCGTGGAACCTGAAGGGGCTGTGGTGTTTACTAAGGAATTTCAATTAGGAGATCCCACGATTACGACATTGGAGCTCTGGGGTGCAGAGTATCAAGAAAACGATGCTCTACTTTGTTCCAAAGAAAATCGCGCAACTCTCGAAGGTATGATACTTAGTAATAAAATTACCCTTTTACTTAACCCTTAGACTCAAGTATGTACCTCTTTTACCGATACTTTCAAAACGCCATTCAAAACCTATAACATACAGGGTGTAAGGGACGTCGTAACGGATACTGAAAAAGTGTATTCAGACCAGAATTTTCTGCCTGACACTTAAACATTTTATGCAATCAGCTGTCAAAGGTTAAGGTCATTCCCCGAAGTTATCGCGCAAAAGTAATAATTACACGTGTATTCCGTGCAGACAGTCTACGCACAATAACGGGAGGCCGCGCGTGCTTAGGGTGTTTAATTAATTACATTGCAGTTTTTGACCGTAGGCCGTTGAATAAATTGTTTTCAGTTAAATATTATGTTTACTCATTGTAATGTCATTTTTCATAATTTTTAACCAAAAAATGGAAACTTATAAAAAAAATGATGAGTTTTCCGACAGAAAATTCTAATGATTTTCGACTCAGAATCATGGTCTGAACACACTATTTCAGTATTAGTTACGACGTCCCTTACACCCTGTATAATTAGTCATAAAAAATCCTATTTACTAATATGATGTTAATTCCTCATGTGGAAAATTTTTGTGTAGAATTCTGAAACAATCACTACTACCCATTGACACAATTATGTCAAACTGATGTTAGAATGACGTCATGCCACGTTATGATTTATGTGACTATAAGTCATATATGATTCATAATTTCCCACTCCCTGGCGTAAGAACCTTTGCATGAATTTGGATAAATTTGTTTACGCTATATATCGCCTTAAACAAATATCGACTCTTCGCACTGCTTTAAGTGCATACCACGGCTATGTGTCGTCAAAACTACGATATGCGATTATAATATGGGGCAATTCAGTTGAGGCAAATAGGGCATTTCTTGTGCAAAAGAAATGTATGCGAGCACTATCCAACTTACAGCAAACCGATAGTTGCAAAGAGCATTTTAAGAAATACAACATACTACCTCTACCTAGTCTGTATATTTATGAGATTTGTGTTTTTGTGCACAAACATCAACGGCTATTTTGTAAACATAACGACGCTGTCGCCAGGTCAAGCAGAAACACACATAAACTCTTAGTTCCCAGACAAAGAATAAGTATGTATAGTAGGAATGTATACTGTATGGCTATACACATTTATAACAAGCTACCAAATAGATTTAAGGAAGATACCATTAATGTTTTTAAAAGAAAATTATTTACGTTGCTCTTAGATAAATGTTTCTACAGTGTCAAAGAATTTTTTGACGATGAGAAATTGTGACATAATTATTACTATATTACTAAATAATGCATGATTAAATTGTAAAAAAAAAAAAATCACTATATTAACATTTTGTTCACCAGATAATGGTAGAATGTGGCTGGCATCTAAAACGTACCTACTAACAACTCTGTAAACCCATATTCTAACAAATAAATATATTATTATTATTATTATAAGATTCTGACCTAAGACAGAAGACGTAAATATGATCTCTAATTGACTTCATTATGACCTAACTCGAGTCAGAATGACATAACTCTGATGTCATAGAGCAGTAAATTACCTTTATTTAAAATTACTATTAAAATTACTAAATAACTTATTTAAAATTACTACCGGATGCTCACAGAAATATGACGTCCAGCTGACGTACTTGTCATTTAGCTAACGACAAGATGACATGAATTTGAGGTAATATAGTGATGTAAATATGCGTTCAAATGCTTACAAAACTGTGACGTCTTTCCCTCCACGGAAATATGTAGTAAAAGGCGAAAGATTTATACGTTATGAAGGGAAACCAGAGTTTACATGAAGTTATAAGAGTGCCGTAATTAACCTGCATGAGTAATAGGGTGGAGTGAAAAAACTTTTTTCGTGTTATTGTTATGTAATAGCGTGAAAAGGGTGCCTTTAGGGTTTAACATAGCACACACAAAATATAATTTGAATTAGTTTAGGGTATCTGCCTCCGCAAGGTCACTGAACTTTTGAATAAATTGATTTTTAGACCCATGTTTGACGCTACGTAAATATGTCATTTTTAATTTTTATTTTATTATTCGATAGTTACAATAGTCTATTTTGTTTACTAATCATTAAAAAACGTATTCTTACGTTGGTTTAGGTAATTAAAACAAGAGGCAGTTCAAGAGTCGACAAGTGCGCGGCGCCCGCTTGTCGACATATTTTGTCGTATCAGTGCACAGTTATTACTCGAAGTGACAGCACGGACGTTTGTTTTGAAGCATGGAAAAGACTCGCAGTGCATTTAAGAGTCCCCTTTTTGGTGGTATCGTGGATATTAAAGACAATTCTCTACCTACTTATGAAGATGTAATGAAGTATTATGAATGGACGAAACATCAGCTCAAATCACAATTAGAAACTGCAAAGGAGCCAACATTTGCACAAGTAGCAGATATAGTGGTACCTAGGATTGAAGGTATATGGCTAACAGCATCTATTCCAACTGTAACACGAACGAGAATAATACAGATGTTAAAAGCATATCACATGAAATGCAAGAATTTACTTAAGTCTATTAAGAAGATTTCTCCAGAAAAATTGGAAAGTTTTCGCGAAAATAGTAAGCTGCTCTTTGATATTGCATCTTGCAAATGTAAAGAACTCCCATATTGCATCTGCCCGACTGATAAAAAGGTTCCCAAACAGGAACAACCGTTTTTAATAGATCAACGAACTTCTCGAAATATGTTTATCGGTAAAATTGACATTACTACGACAAAAAAACTACAAAAGACCCTTAAACGGAAACTAGATCGCGAAAACTCCACAAGTAAATCCTTGAGTAAGAGTTTTATGTCAGTTGATACAGAAATTAACGTTTCCATGACATCACCGACATCCCCGACATCCGAGCGGAGTAGTAGTACAGCTGATGAATTCCTAAACACTACAGACGATGGCATTCCTGAAATAAAGAGAAAAAAGATCTCACATATTAACTTACCTACGTTATCGAAGACGTGCGACAGATATGGAGTCTCTGATAGGGCGGCGGCAGCGATCGCATCATCTGTTTTGCACGATATTGGATCTGATCTTGAGGTTATTGATAGACATAAATTACGAAGGGAGAGATCTAAAAACCGACAGAAATTAGTGAAAGAAGTCATTAATACAGAGCTTTCTGCTTTATACTTTGACGGAAAGAAAGACAAAACTTTAAAAATTGTTAAAAAAGGTAATAAACACTATAGAACTACGTGTATTGAAGAGCATATCTCGCTCATTCAGGAGCCGGGCTCTATTTATATGGGGTACGTAGTACCAAGTACAGGTTCAGCAAAGGCAATAGTAACCGCAATCACAGGGTTTTTGGCCAAGAAAAGCATTTCTCTACAGCATCTTATGGCGATTGGCTGTGATGGAACAAATGTTAATACTGGAAAATATGGCGGAATTATACGCCTCCTGGAAAAAAGCCTGCAAAGACCTCTCCAGTGGGTAATTTGTTTACTTCATATGAACGAACTTCCTTTGAGACACTTGTTTTTACATATCGACGGAGCCACTTCGGGACCCAAGTCTTACACAGGGCAGTTGGGAAAGTCACTGGAAACTTGTGAACAATTGCCAGTTCAAAAATTCCATCCGATCGAAGGAGAACCGCTTCTAACAACGGCTGTAGATTTGAGTACAGATCAAAAATACTTGCACGATATTGTCTCAGCGGTACAATCAGGCGACTTTCCAGAAGATTTGGCGAATAGGTCTCCAGGTAGACTATCTCATGCTCGTTGGCTCACACGTGCTAATCGTATACTACGTTTGTATGTAGCAACAGAAAAACCATCAGATAAATTGATAACCCTGGCTACATTTGTCATAAAAGTTTACGCCCCATGTTGGTTCTCCATTAAGAATAAACCGTCTTGTAAAGATGGAGCTCGGCATCTTTTTAAAATCATATTGACCTCCAGGTACCTGCCAGAAAATCTAAAAAAGGTCATCGATCCTGTCATTCAACGCAATAGCTATTTTGCACATCCTGAAAACATCTTACTTGCAATGATTACTGACGACGAGAGACACATTCGTGAACTGGCAGCCCGGCGTGTATTAAAAGCACGTAGTATGACGCAACTTCCATCACCAAGGCTGTTTGAAGTGACAGATGTTAACTTTTGTGCGTCGAATTATATCGATATGATAAATTGGCAACAAACTATTACCGAACCTCCGATCTTGAAACACCTAACTGATCAAGAAATTCAACAAATAGTCCAATCTGGTGGCGAGGGTGAACTATTGTTTTTACGTCTTCCCTGCCATACCCAAGCAGTTGAAAGGGCTGTAAAGTTGACGACAAAAGCTGCCACTTCCCAGTGTAAGGACTCATCACGATTGGGAGCCATAAAAGCTAAATTAGAATCCCGTAAGAAAATGCCGAAATTTGAGACAAAAAGAGATTTTAAGGCCGACTGAAAACTCGTTTTATTGGTTATAACTAAAATTGTACTACTTTTGCGTTTAATTACATTATTCATATTTTAAATATACAATTTAGTATCATTTATCCTTCCTATATATCTCTTATATACTTAACATTGAACCCTAAAAATACTACGATTTTTCAGAAAATCTTAATATTTCAAGGCCCAAGCGGAGGCAGAAGATATTATTTTATCGAACTGAAAAAGAACAGTTATTTTTACTTTAACGTAAGGCACTAATCCCTCCCTATTAGAATTCAAAACTAGGAAAAAAAAAAATCCATACAACAGCGCTCCACCCTGATGAGTAACGAAACTATATCGCGACTCAAAATAATGGTAGCACAGGTAGTTGTCATAACCACTCTTAGTTATTCGGTTTCAATATGAACGAATTATAGCCTATTCAACAGTAATTATAATTAAAGTTTGGTTTATCCATCCATATGTCCAGCAGTGGACTACTAAAGGCTGTTGATGTGATGATGATGATGATGAAGAGTATAAATTTATTATATTATTTTATTAAAGAGACACTAGTTATTAAAGTTATTTTTTTGGATTTGATTCTTAGGATTAGTCTGTAAAAAATCTTCATTCCATTCTAATAAAAAAAGTAAGTACCTAAAGTCACACATGATAGGGATAGAACATAACATATACGTCACAATTATGACGTCATATAAAAGTTAATTTCTGGGTAAGTTTTTTGATTTGATTTATTTTTATGTAATATCTATGTAAAAATTCTATGACCTATCTATGACGTCATATGTTATGGTTATGTGTTCACTATGTAGTACTATTGAGAGACTCATACAGGAATACTTAATGGCCTCCCTGAGAGTAACAGACGTTTCGATGTATTTTGTAACTACTGGCCAGTATTGTCGCCACTTCGTGAAGATGTGTGGTCAACTTTAAAAGCAATAATTGTTGACCAATTAAGACACTATACCCAAAAAGGAAAAGTGTCCTAATCAAAATTACCATTTACATGTATATATATTTTTACATTTTAGACATCTGTCGACGTGAAAGGTGTCCAGTCTCTTTTGTTGGAGAAGTAACTGGAGATGGCTATATGACTCTAGTTGAGGACTCGTATACAAACAAATATCTGGATAGAAACGAGAGACTGAAACCAGATACCAAGTCAAAGTTGCCGTACGATTTACATTTGGAAGCTGTATTAGGTATGTCATCATTGTTTTTATTGTATCATGCTGTGTGAAAAATATTGTCTCACAAGCTAGTAAGGTCAGATGTTTGTCGAATTTGACGTCATAAAGACATTATCTTGTTTATACATACGGATATTAGCGTTCTTCATTAACAAAGGCACAATCATGAATTATTTCAGTAAATGATAAGCAACAAAAATAGAATAAAAGCTATGTCGAAATATTTGTAAAATATCGGTATTTTTTAAAATAATGAAAGTAGATACATATATTATACTAGGCTACTACAGGAAGACATAGACCAGGTAGTGGACCAATACCAATAAGCTACACTTTAACATGCTAAATGCGGAGTGATGAGAGTAGCGAAATAGTACCCGAGTTGTTATTGATTCGTAATCATATCGTTATTCCATGCAGTAAATCATTTAGAAATTGAGGATTTATTTTGAGAAACTGTAAAGATTTTAATAACAACGTCAGTGGTGAAGATATTGTACAATGCTCTCGTTCATAGTCATCTAGAAGCGACCGCTATAATTTGGAATCCTCACGAGGCTTAACCTTGTGGTAGAAAAAATCCAAAATACATGCTCTCGATTTCTGTATTACAAAGAATACGCGGTGTACCCACTATACCCGCTCGTGTACCCCTGCTTATTCGTCCTCGGCATGGTCGGGTACGTGCGCCTGAGCGTGTGACGCGACGTGACGCTGGTGACATACGTGTGGCCGACATACTAGCGAGTACAAATCTTCTTAGATATGCCCCTATATCACGCGCAATAAGGCTTATTAATATTATTTCGATACACGTAGATATCTACAACTGTAGCCACCCGAACTTCAAAGAAGTTGCCCAAACTCTTATTACAGCAAATGATTTTTCTTTATAAAATAATTGTTACTTACTGTTTTTGCTTACAGTATCGTTTTGGGATAAGGATCCTTTAAAGACACTGTAAAAGTTTTAAATAAATAAAAAATATCTTTTTAATTTGATTTATGAACATTATTAAAATCATTAATTTGTATATTCAGGAAATATGCCAAGGAAAACCTTTGATTTGGTGACTGAGAAGAGGACTAAATTGCCACTGACATTGCCACAGAATGTCACTGTACACGATGCCCTTGACAGGGTACTCAGACTTGTCAATGTGGCTAGCAAGAGATACCTGACCAACAAAGTAAGTTTCTTGAAATTTGTTCTACGAAATGCACAAAGATAACAATAGTTGATGGATATTTGTAGTCTAAAGCTTCGTATCGACTGCGCGCTCCAAGCATTCATTCCATTCATCCAAGCTCCAATCATTTTGATTTAAATCGCCATAAATCAAATGATGTTTTTCAATAAGAATCAATGATTTAATCAAAAATGTTTAATTTCACTTTCTTTCACGGAAATCATCATAAAAAATAGATTAGAAATTATAATTAAGTTACAAACTAGGGTCGTTTAAATCTCAGAAATCAATATTATTATTATATTTGAATGAAAAAAAACTAGTTAACTAGTGGTCTAGCTAACTAGTTTTCCAGCCTTTTCAATTCCCAGTCGGTTTCTTAATTTGCTCTAAACAATTCCAAAGGTGGAAAACAGTCTTCCCACAGCAGCTAAAGAAGCTATCGACCCAACAATTGCTTCACCACTGGCAAAATTTTTGACTGTTCCTCTTCACTAAATATATTTTTCTATGACATCCGAACATCACACTTCGAACGGTTTTGATTTTGACTTAATCTTTACTATCAATGGTAGCTAAACTGAACTATCATAGTAATTTCGTGCTTCCTCCAACCATGGACGTATTAAAAAGTGAAACTTCGACATTTAGCTAATATATAAATCAGTTTCTTAAAATTTAGCTCCAAGCTTCTTCCAAGCCGTTACAGCAGTAGACAAAGGACATCATTCACGCTCCATACAAAAAGTACCCAAAAAAATAGTGCCGGCCAACGAAAAAAATGGTTTTATCGGTTAGAGAATGACATTCTAAGATTTTTTTCTTTAGACGGCTAAGAGCTAAGACCGATTACTTGAGTTATATGACTTAGAAATAATAAAAAAATGCATTTATACGAGTTCGTCTGAACAATTTTTTACTTCATTACTATAGCAAAAATCAAATAATGATGATAAAGAATAACTTAATCTCGCTTAATAATAATATAATATGACAAAAAGCCTAATTATATACAATCATCATTAGGTACCTAAGTACCTACGTAGGTACGAGTATCTAACTAAACGACAATTTTGTTAACTATTAGACTGACTATAATATCTTGAGGTAGGTAATTAAAAAACCGCAATGACATTACGTAACTATTTCGACTAACTTCTTATCTTAAATATGATAAAGATAAGTTCATATTTACCTAAGAGCTAAGTTTTGAGGTCAAATTCGCTTACTTGGTAATTAGTTAGTGACTCTAATTGCTAAGAGGTCGTAGGATTGATTCTGATCTTAAAAATGTACTCGTATGTATGAATTTAGCAGTCTGCTGACCTTGATAAAGTCTCTGCCTAGTTTGGGATCAGCAAACTTTATGGGAGGTGTCCCAGGTCATTATTATTGTCATTTGTGTAGATGTAAGGAGTTATCAAATGGACAAAGTGCTACTTTTTGTAAAGTCTTGTTTTTTATAGCCAATTTAAAAAACGGGCATCATTAGTTATTCATAGGTAAAACTTATTTACGCAGGTAGACAGATGTGTAACAGGTCTAGTAGCTCAGCAACAATGTGTTGGTCCTCTACATACGCCGTTGGCGGACTGTGCGATTATTGCATTGTCATACTACGACCTCGTCGGTTCCGCCACTTCTATCGGCACACAGAACATCAAGGGATTATTAGACCCTGCTGCTGGAGCTCGAATGTCTCTGGGAGAGGCTATCACTAATTTAGTAAGTTATAGGGTTTTTTTTGTATCATGCATAGGAAAAATTATAATTCTTGTTAGTCCAATTTTATTTTTATTTTGTACGTTTAATTAGATAAAAAGAAAAACGGGTTCCGTTCGAAAATAGCTGTATATTTTTTGAGCAGAAGCCTAATTCGTGTAATACATAAATAAGGTACCATTAAAATATTACAGCACAACATAGCATCAATCGATCGTCATAATCGACATTCTGAACATTATCTAATAGCTAAAGAGACATGAATATATCTCGTTAAACAGGTGTTCGCCGGAATCTCAGAGCTGGAGGATGTGAAATGTTCAGGAAACTGGATGTGGGCAGGCAAGACGGGAGTAGAAGGCGGCGCGCTCGTAGTGGCGTGTCGCGCCGTGTGCGACGCTATGAGTACGCTGGGCGTGGCCGTGGACGGCGGCAAGGACTCGCTCTCCATGTGCGCGCATGTCGCGGGAAAGAAGGGTACTCCTACTAGCTATATCTTACTTACTGTTTCACGGGGATGAACTGACCTGACCTGGGCCTCTAATACGAGTTTATTTTACATCAACTCGATCGTCAACGGCGACCGCGTTCGGCTCTTGCGATTGGCCCGCACTGAAGTCTTCACCGATCGAGTCGAGATCATGTAAAATAAACTCGCACTGGCACTAACAAACAAATAAACGCCCCCCTTTTTTTTTCCGTGCGGAAATCCCCTCGGATACCACCTATCGGTGGCATGTCGGACTCGCACCGACTAAAAACTGCACGCCGTCCCCGAGTACTAGAAAGGAAGTCCCTGGTACCCGACATACCTTGGGCCATCTACAGACGAGTAGACGACCCCCCCCCCCCTGTGGGAACCCCATGTTCCCTCGCACTGGACCTCCTGACGAACACTTATCCGATTACCTTAATGTGTCATGGAGGCATCAAATTATATCATTATCAAATTATATTATGACCAAATTTTGTATTGAGTACACATTGAGTATTCATTCAATCAGATAAACGTATTGCCTTAGAAACTGTGTCTGTTTCTTAAGGATGTAATGCAAGTGTTAGTAAAATCACTACTATACATAGGTTGAAAGCTCCATGTAAATACAACATACTACTAAAGTTGGTTTCGTCTTAGAAGATAGTAAACATTTTTTTTTTCTGTGCGGAAATCCCCTCGGATACAACTTACTAGTCGGGGAACCAGGTTTACCCTAGAAAGGAAAACCATGAAATCTGGCCTGCTTCTGCTAGGGTGACAGATGGCCTCACCTGTCACCCCCAGGCCTGCGCTTATGAAGGACGCAGGTCGTTCTGCGACCTCCGGCGCCTGAGTCGTCTGCGGTACCTGACCCGTTCCCGAACCTGGCGGCCCGGGAGAGTTCTAAACCCCTTCCGGTCCCGCGCCGACATCTCCTTCGCAAGCATAACTTGCTCGCCTAAAAGGAGTCTGCAGAGTTCCACGCACTCTCGCTCCGTACGATAGCCGCAATCAGGTTATCGAGCGAGAGAACTCCCACTCCGATTGCCGCCACTAGGTCTTGCCTCTGCTCCATCCACGCCGGGCATTCTGCCAGCGTATAGAGCGCCGTGTCCACGGTCCGACCATCGCAGTGGTGGCACACAGGCGTTTGCTCCTTGCGGATCAGACACAGGTGATCCCTAAAACATCCTTTCCCAGTGATCACCTGCGTCAGTCGGTATGAGAGGGTCCCGTGATGCCCCTCGAGCCAATCCTCCATATCGGGTCTCATCGCCGGATTGACGGCGTGCCCGAGAAGATACTAACCCTGACAACCTTAAATATGAAGTAAATTTTACACTTGATAGAGTTTTATTGTTTGGTTTTAGTAAAATCACCTGGAACATTAGTTGTGTCAACCTATGCACCGTGTCCAGACATAACAATAAAAATTGAGCCAGCTCTCACACAAGAAGGGTCAGCCCTTGTTTATGTACCAGTCAGTCCTGGTAAATACAGGTTAGTAATATCTTCATCATCTTAAAACAGTTCTGCTATACTCGTAGTAGAAAAGGCCCTGTCAGACCTTCTACTTGGCCAGTATGGCTACATAGACTTCCGGAAACTTTCACAATCATGATTTTGAAGTAATGTGATAAATATAAGCGAGATTTTAAAAGCGTGGTATTTAAAATAAAGTACTGAATTTTGAACTTCAACTCTACTTGTACATAAGTATTCAGAGTATGTATGTCAAACATTTTTAATTAAATATGTATTATACATATTATATATATTATTATTATAGGCTCGGCGGTTCGGCTTTAGCACAATGTTTTAAGCAGCTCGGTGATACTCCAGCAGATCTTGATAACCCAGCGATCCTGAAATCTTTGTTCAAAGTTACTCAGAAATTATTAAAAGGTAAAGTATTACATCTAATGAAATGACTTTCTAAAAAAATTTTTTGTTTCTGACTGAATGAATTTTTTGTTTGTTCATCTATATAATGAGTATTTTGTAAAAACCTAGTATTAACTAAATAATAAACGGACATTGTGACTATTGACTAACATATAAAAAACGAGCTATTGACTGCTGCTTCGCTCGCATGATTACCCTCTTGGGGGGGGGGGGGGGGGGGGGGGAATTTTCCAAAAATCATTTCTTAGTGAATCCTTACAACATAAAAGTATCACCTGCCATAATTTCCAGTTTGTAGCCCCAGCAGTTTAGGCTCTGCGTTGATGATGAATCAGTCAGTAAGTCAGGGTAAGTAATTGTATAGCTATTCAAAAAAATAATACGATCTATCATTTTTTTTATTATAGAAGGTGCTCTACTATCCGGCCATGATATCAGCGAGGGAGGTTTCATAACAACAGTTATTGAAATGGCCATTGCTGGCATACGCGGAATAAATTTAGACTTCCAAGTAGAACAAAACGTGTCCCCCATCCAAGCTCTTTTTAATGAGGAGTTAGGAATAATACTTGAAGTTGGATCAAGTAACCTATCACGTGTTCTTAAGGACTACAATCAAGGAGGAGTTCGAGCTAGACAAATTGGAAGTGTTGGCAAATATGGCATGAACTCTGAGGTATGAATCGCTTTTAAAACTATAGTAAGTTGGTATAGCTGGATAGTTGTACAGTAGTTGATTTACGATATCACACAAAAATAAAAAACCCTGTTTTTCTATTTTTAAACTTATAATAATTGTAACAGTTGTGGATGGATAGTTTATTTTAGCGATTGGCACAAAGTGCAACTTAGCTGGTAACCCATATATAAACAGTATTACGTACCTTAAACATATTTCGAGATCGTTATCCTTGTCGATGATAATTTGTCAAGCGAGAACGCTGTCAACAAAAGATTAAAGATAGTAATTTATAGTAGAATAGTGCAATTTAAATTACCAACAAACATTTTTTTTTATAAGAATACTATTGGAAGGCTTTAGAATAACAATTCTAATGATTGATAACCAAATAATAAATATAATTCTATTCTCACTTTAATTATAGCTAAGATATTTTAATAGTTTGCTAAGGTTAGGCACATAAGCCGTAAAGGTCACTTGTTAAAAATGTTATCAGTTATTGCTAAATATCAGTTCTGCCACATATAACTGATGATATTTCTTGATTTTAGTTGATGATAAAAACTCTAGCACTAAAGGTTAACATTAGTAGTCGTGACCTTGGAAACCTCACAGACGTGCAGTCGCGGGATTTTATACTTGGTCACCGATGGGTGCCCGTGACCCAAATTAAATGACAATTTTCTCTTGTTTTTTTAAATTAGCTAATTAAGTAGTGACTCATTTCTGATTATTCTGTGTTCATAGGTAACAGTTAAAATGAATGGCGAAAAAGTGTTGGACACAAAATTAATTGATGTTTTCCGAATGTGGGAAGAAACAAGTTACCAGTTAGAACGTCTACAGGCCAACTCTGAATGTGTTTCTCAAGAATGGAAAGGTAACAGTTTTGTTCATTAAACACTTATGTTTTGTTTGTATTGACCTTAAATTGATTCATTATTTCTATCATTCTTTTGACAGGACTTGAGAAACGTAAGGGTGTGACTTACAAAGTTACTTTTGACCCTACCTTAGCTGTCATGAAAACAAAATCCATCAAAGTGGCTGTTCTTCGTGAGGAAGGTACAGTGGCCAACAATAATATTAACAATTGTATCATTTTCTTTTAATGAAAACACAAATCAAAATGTTCCCATTGTCATGTATGACTTGAATTCACGAAGACCATGAAATGATTCATTTTAAACAGGCAATAAATTCCTGTCAATAAAACCTACAATTCATTTCATAATGAAGTAATACGTACGACGTCGACAGAACTAGCAAATAATACCTACTATAAACCATGCCAATATTTACGACATATACATTTGGCTAAAAATATTTTTGTTATCACAGGTACAAATGGTGATAGGGAAATGATTGCGTCCTTAATGATGGCTAACTTCGATGTGTTTGATGTGACCATGAGTGACTTGCAAAACAAGAGAATTACATTAGATGCATTCCAGGGCTTGGTCTTTCCGGGTGGATTCAGTTACGCAGGTATTTATTTATTATTTATTAAATCAGCAACGCGCGACTGACAACCCTAGGGTTGATGACCGTGATTTAGTTGGGAGACTCGCGTACCTGCTGCATAATGTAGGATAAGATGGCTGGAAGTAAAACATGGCTTCGTAAATTTTATATTCTCTTGAGTTTTCTTTTAAGCTTCATTTGTACTCACATAGTTTTCAAATTAACTATCAAAAAACTAGTACCAAGCCTCTTTTCATTTATTTTCTCTCATTCCACTATTCCGAAATGTACTTTTTTGCTGATAAGAGTAAGTTCTGTATCATATTTTGATCAAATTATCCTATAACTCGTAGTAGTTGTGGGAAACATCTAATTTCCTTTATGATGAATACATGAAACAAAATAATACATGTAAAACAATACAGCATAACTAACTACTTAAAAACAGCCAGGTACCATGTAGAATACTTGTTTGCCACTTTAGTTATATAGATAAACAAATAAATTTTAATAAAGCATTAAATTTATGTACCTGCTACTAATATTACTGCATTCTTTTAGATACATTAGGCTCGGCAAAGGGTTGGGCAGCAGGCATTATGTTCTCAGATTCTCTTAATGCCCAATTCTCTCACTTCAAGAATAGATCTGATACATTCTCTTTGGGTGTCTGTAATGGTTGCCAACTGATGGCACTTCTTGGATGGATTGATCCTGTAGATGCGAAGGGTGATAATAAGACTCAGATATTCCTTGACCACAATCTTTCTGAGAGGTAATCATTTATTATTTTGATTTAAAACAACATGTTAAATTATTCTAATTTATAATTTTTTTATAACAATAATAATTTAAGAGATTTTGAAACCATTAAATTGACCTTATTAACACTATATGTCATCCTTAGGTTTGAATGTCGCTGGAGTGCAATCAAGGTAAATGAAGACAAGAGTAATGTCTGGTTCAACGGTATGAAGGATAGCGTACTTGGCGTTTGGGTGGCACATGGGGAAGGACGGTTCGCCGTCTCAGAATCTCATTTGCTGGAGATCCTACAAAAGAATGGACAGATCGCCATGCAATATGTGGACGACAATGGATCTCCTACTGAAGTTTATCCTATGAACCCTAATGGCAGTTCATGTAAGTAACAACTTGAATACTAAGTATTCGCGCCTGTTTAATAACTTAATTTCTTGACTAAAATTCTCCATTACATTCAATTCATTCAAAATCCAATACATTTTATTAGTTTAATAGTAATATATTTTATTGTAATGGTGTTTAGACTATAAAACAGCCTCAAATAGTAGTCACACAGGACACTCAGGCCAAGAACAGAACCGATATACATACATACTCTTAATTATGTCGTGTTATTTAGTTAGCACTCTAATCTAATTCTATGTTCTTGTTCCAGTGGGTATAGCAGGCGTGCGGTCTCAGGATGGTCGACATATCGCCATGATGCCTCACCCCGAAAGGTGTGTCTTACGTTGGCAGTGTGCAGTACCTCCGGCTGTTCCATCCACCATTTCTGATTCAAATAGCCAAGCTTCACCATGGCTCAGACTCTTCCAGAACGCCTATTCATGGGCTTCCAAACATTAGTTAAGATCTTACAGTACTAGTATAACTATTATGAGTAATGTTCCTCTGAAAGAGCTATGCAATCATTATGAGAAAGTCAAATGTGCAATGTAAGCTATGGCAAAACCACATTATTTTTTATTGAATAATTTAAAACAAGAACTGTGAGTCATAAAAGTGTATGTAAAGAAAATGTTGAACATTAGGAATATTTGAGTTCTGATCTGCATAACATTTAAACATGACTTAGAGTTAAGAAATCATTAACATATCACTAACCCTTTGACCGCCAAGGACGCATTAAAGCGCCATTCAATAACTTGATCGGGACGCCAATGACGTCTTAAAGCGTCCCCGTACTTCATTTTTTACGGAAGAATTAAACTTGGCTTATGTTGATTTTCAGAATCAGGAATATTTATAAGATAACATCCTGATTTCGGCTACTATAATCAATAATATTACTATACTATAATCGGTGTTCTTTGTGTCCATTTCATGTATGTTGTGAAGTCCCCCGAGACACAGGATATATTCCTAATGCGGGAGTTGTCTTTTTCACAAAAAAAACTGCCTATGACGTCATAAGCGAATGAATTGTTAGTTGTAGTGTTGGGATTTAACAGTAGAAAGAAAATTGTATAAATATATCCTCGAGATAGAAATTATTATATCTGCAATAAGTATTTTGCCAGAAGATTTTTCGTTACACATCACACATCATGACATCAACAGCCTATATTAGTCCACTGCTGGACATAGGCCTCTCCTTAGAAAGGAGGTTTTGGCCTACTATACCACGCTGGCCAGACGGGTTGGTATAGGGTTTGTTTCAAGTTTTCCTTCTCTTTGCAGTGCTGTTGTCCTGCTTAGTTTGCTCCCTTAGTCGGCTCTTACGACACCCACGGGATGAATTGGGGTGGTGATAATTTGTATTCTTAATCCGTCACCACACGGACGACGTTATACGTCTTTATTCAATTTTATAGTAATGAATGTGGATCACGATGAGCTGCTTTGTGAATTCTTAAAATTATCGATGATGTTAGAATAACCTTTGAAACTGACTCGGATAGAGGCTTTCATGAAAAAAAAAATACTGTACTAACACTTGTAATAATTTTGTTGAATTAAAAATATGTCGTGTCATGTATTTGGATGTGGTCACAAAAGAGATTAAGCTGTAATTAAAAATTTTTTTTTTTAAATAAAATCTGCTATTATCTGAAGCTTTGGTGTAATGGTTATGTAGCTGAAAAGTGAAATGAAATATGGCTTGGCATTGAATAAAACTTCAATGGTATTAGCATTTTTTTATTCGATGATTACCGATATAGTTTAGCCCGTCACTATTACTCTGTAGGTATGAAACAAGGAATTGGTTGATTGGTATAGAGAGCACTGTTCGTCATTATTAACGTGGCGGTCAAGGGGTTAATGACTGTATTGCAATTTTGGTTTATAATCACTTTTTAATGTTACACTAATATTATATGTTAATTGTTTTCAATTATAGTTCATCTAATCTAGGAAGTACCATTTGACAGATTGATGAATGGGTCAAAGAAATCGATTACTACAATATCCGAATCTTAAGAGATTTCGATATCGTTTCTTTATATTTACAAATCGATTACAGATTAATGTATGTTACTGTAAAAGGCCGTATATTATTATATTTTAGGTTTATTATTTATATCCAATGTGTAAGTAAATGTCAGAATTTTATGAGAGATAATTTTTTCGGGCTATTCAGTCCTAACCTAGCCAGATTTAAATAAGTACATAATTGTGTTTTTTGTGAAAACTTAGACAAGTGATTTTGTCTACAAAGATTTATTTAAAATTATATTAACTTACATATTTTTTATTATAATTATACGTTTTCGTTAACAGTTCGATGTCAGCTAATTACAATACGCGCCAAATAACTTTGCGCCAGCGAATTTCTTTTAGTAATTTGCTGGTCTTTTGAAGACTAAATATTGAACATAATTCTATAAGTGTCTATTTATTGATAGTGTACTATTCCTTAGTGGTCCGTAGTTGTTAACAAAAGCGTGATATGATATGTATTTTACTTGTTTGCCACTTTAGTATTTAAAATATTAACGTAATCGTTCGAAAGTAGGTACACATACATTAAAAATTATTGAGTTACATTTCTTCTTTTTAACCTGTGAATAAGGTTAAAAAGAAGAAATGTACAAAAAAAAATATAAAAACAGTAAATAAATTGTATTTTTATGCTCGGTACATTTGTTTGCGAGGGTAACTGTGCAACATTTAGTTGCAGCTAACTCCATTGGCGCAGACTTGTATGGCGCGTATTGTAAATACTATAGGACGCCGGATTGAAAATGGCAGGTTATTTATAAGTTCGATTATTCGTACATTTTAGCGATTATTCGAATACATGTGAATTTGAAGAGTCACAACACTACGGTAAAGGGACTTTGAAATGAAGTTAAAAAAAACTATCAATTGTGTAAATTGGTTAATTTGCTTTGTTTAAAATATTTTAACGGAAAATTTTATTATAATAAGTAGTGTGAGTTACGCCATTACAAAGTTGCTTCGACTTGAAAAGTATGAAACGTCATATGGTACCTCTTAGATTAGATGGACTATAAGTTTACTTATTCTTCTAATTGAAATCTCATTACACTATTATTTTTGTGGCTTACGGTTTTTTTTTGTTATCAAAGAGGGGGCAAACGTGCAGATGGTTAGTGACTAGCGCCGCCCATGAATGCCTGCAACTCAGGGGTGAAGGCCTTTGAGGGTGTGCTTAACAAAAAATATTCGTCTATTTACTTAGTAATTTTTTACAAAATCTTGCATCTAAATATAAAAATTTGTCTTCCATTTACATTCCATAAAAATTCAATGTGCTTTCACTTATTGAATAATTTTAGAAAAATATTATACACTTATTTTATTGTCAAATGTTTTATTTTAAAGTGTGAAAAAGTACTCTTTTGTGAATAAATAAAAAATAAATTAAAAATTTGTATTATTTTTATGCTTAAGGTTTTGTTTTAGTTCTGTTAAAATGTAACATAAAATTTTAATAGTGAACCGGATGTCTATTAAATAAAAGAAATTATGTTTTTAAAAATGTATATTTAAAACAAGTGAATTCAGATGAATTCATATAAAATATCTAGTAAGTTACACCAAAGTCAGTTACTACCTAAGTACCTCTTACCTTTCGTAGTAATAATAATACTTGATCCCATTTTATTTTACAACTTATAGGGCCTGTTGGACTACTCGTAAGTGACCCTTACTGCTAATTCACAGGCCATGGGTGCGATTTACACCCAGGATAAATAATTGTGTAATTATTATGATCATTTGCTCTGTGTCTGGGTGTAATTTATAAATCATATTGGTATTGAACAATATTTAAGTTTGGTTATCAGCAGTCTGGTTACCATAGCACAGGCTATGCCTAGTTTGGGATCAGACTGCTGTGTATGAGATGTATAAAGCCATTATTATTATAGATGGAAGACCTACTAAAATTAAAGAGTAAAATTGAATGCAAGTTAACAGTTCACTTTGGTTTTAAGTGTGAATAACAATTACTTCAAGTTGTACTGAAGAATAATATTGCTTATGAACAAAGTGGCAGTAAAATAAAGTTCTAGTACTGCAATATTCTATAAATTGAAATAAGTGAAGTACCTATGTTGTAGAGCAGTTTTGTGAACTATGCAATTACCACTAGCATGGAAGGGTTAAAGAGCTCATACTAACAACATGCTGTGGGTATTGTAAAAAGCATGTTTAATCAGGACGAATAAAATCAGACATATCTTAACTAGCAAAGGGTTGCTATCCCACTTTGGGCAATACTTTTCTTGTTTTGGTAATTAAACTAATTACAACCAAAAAGAATCTCTCAATTACAGATTTAAGAGTTGAATTTATTTTTACTTAGTAACAACTTAAGGGCCAGGCTATAGGGAGGATATACAATCGCAGATGGCTCAGGCCAGGTACAAAGATGCTTTTTACTGAGACTATGCTTCTGCTCCACCTGTACACATATTAATTAAAACTAAAGAAGCTTAATAGATATTCTGTTTGTGATTTGTATATGGTTATAAAATAGTATGCATATGTATAATAAATAACAATGTGTATATGTTACACATTTGCAAGAGAAACATCAAATATTCATTGCCATTACTTCTTGAATAGCTATAGTAAGATCTTTTCTCCTAGACTTTTCCAGAGCATCACAAAGAATAAAGAACCATTTGTCGGGATCTGCTTTTTCATATTCAAATGCTTTCATTACTTTAGTAGCCTTCTCAGTGAGAGTTCGACTTTGGCTATCAATTTCATCTATCCGGCATTCACGAACTTTTAAATTTCTTCCGAGATCACGCCAAAAGCTACCAATTTCTTCAATAATTGTTTGGAAAATCCTTTGCTTTTTTCTTTTACTTACAGTTTTGATACATGGAGCATGACTGTTCATTATGTAACTTTCTTCTGGTTCCGTTGCAATATTTTGTGCAGCAACTGTAAATATAAAGCAGTTTCTGTATACAATCTTAGTTTACTCACAGTTACTGCCCACCAACAGACTCATACGTAAGCTAGATTAAGGACCCATGACATATCTGGACACTAAACCTATACCAACATCATTCTATGTTATTGTTATAATACTTCAGGATTAAGTGCCCTTAATACTAATAAACAGGAACGTCTATATAACCGGGGGATTTATTAATAGACACTCTTGCACTTGTATAAAATTTAAATCATTATTCTTTGGGCAAACATGACATACATCTTTTCTATATATAATTATCATAATAGCTTACCATAATAATTTCCATATTCCCTTGGCACATGAGATTTTTCATAATCAGATATTTTCTTCAATAACTCCTCAGTATTTGGCAACTTTAGGGCTATGTTTTTTAAGCTTTGTACGTTATCTTCTGACAGTATATCTCGAAGTTCCAAAACACTCAATAGTTGTCTTATTGTTTTGATTTGTTCAACTCGTCTAACTGAATTGATCCCTGCACTAAACAATTCTTTTATAGAGCTTAATATTTCGTTGTGTTTTTCAGCTTGTACCACTGCTAAAACTATACATTGTTTCAGTTGCGTGTAGTCCGATAAAGTCATTTTTGGTTCACAGCAGAAGTTTGTAAACTAAAACTTGGTCGAAGTACATGTACATTAAAAAAATTATAAAACTACTTGTGCACAATCAAGATTTATATGATGACACGACGAAATTGCACGAAATTACCTATACAACCCATAAATCTACTATACAATTCTACAATCATAACTTACGGGAATATTTTGATATCATATGATGTCATTCCATTTTACACTTACGTTTTTTTACAAAGAGTTTTTTTCTGTTATATTATCTAAATAGATTAGTAGCGTTATAAAGTTATGTTATTGATCAAAATATTTTGAAAGTATGTTATAAATGCTTTATACCAAACAACAATTGTACAGAGTTTACAATATGGAAAATCCAGTCATCGAATTAAACATTAGAGCCTACGCTGCCTGAAATGAACTGTTTAAAAAAAAAAACGATTTTTGGGGACTTTAAGGCTAGTCAAAATGACGCTAAGTCAGTTAAGTCACCCTTTGAAGCTTAAATTAGTAATTAAAGTCTTGTCTAATCTCAAAACACAACACAATTTTGGTTTTTTGGCCTTTTTGGTTTTAAGTTGGCAACTCGATATGATCTGATTTATTTTAAAAGGGAATTCCCCTACCATAGACAATAATAAACATTGTTTTAGTTTTTTCTATTTTTCCTGATTACAATTAACAAGACTGAGTCAGAGGTCAAAAGTTACGTTGGTAAACTGTTTTGAAAGAATAAAACCATTTCATTGCCTCCATCAAAGTTTCGTTGTTGTTTGCATAGTTGAAAGTTGATATGATATTTCTTATTGTATGAGTTGAAATTGAAGAATAATGGAAGGTAAATACAGTCAAAATTACAGAAAAGAATGGGAAATTTCCAGGGAGTTCAAACATTAGTTAAAACTTGTACCAGGTACCTCCACTAAAAGAGGCTGCACGCCTGGCCACCAGGGGAGTCTCTCTGGTGGTCGAGCGCATTGAGGCGCTAGGCTTACGGGTGGCCCTGGACAAGTCCGAGGCCCTCTTATTTCATGGGCCTCGTCGTGGTCCTTTCCCTGGCGCTTCAATCGTCGTCAACTCGGTCCTCGTACCGGTTCAGGCCCAGATAAAGTATCTGGGCCTGATCCTCGACGGGAGGTGGCTCTTCGACGAGCACTTCCGACAGCTTGCTCCAAAGTTGGTCGGCGCTGCGTCTGCCCTTGGGCGACTTTTGCCTAATCTGGGTAGACCCAGCGTCGCAACGAGACGGCTGTACACGGGGGTTGTCCGGTCAATGGCATTGTACGGCGCAACAGTGTGGGCAGCGGCTCTGACAACCCAAAATAGAGCACGCCTTTGGCGTACTCAGAGGGTATTGGCGATCAGAGCCATACGTGGTTACCGCACCGTGACGACGGAGGCAGCGTTCCGGGCGGTCAGCGGCAGTCGGCTCCCGCCCGAAGAAGTACGCTAGTGGCGGGAAGCCGCTCATCGAGCCACGTTGGCTCGTTGGTCGTCACGGCTGGAGGCTCCACGTGCTGGTATTACCGCCGTGGTGGCGTTCCAGCCGGTCATCGTCGAATAGGCAGGGCGGCAGCATGGGACCCTTTCCTTCCGACTGACGCAGGTTCTTTCCGGGCCCGACTGGGCTGGGGTCCGGATGTCTTAATAACAGCAGTTCCCGGATCCCTCCTATTACAGAGGCAGGCGCAGAGTGGCACACCATGTGGTTTTAGTCGGTCCGATTCCGACACACCACTCTGCCGTAAACCCCGGTGGGGTGACGGCCCGAGGGGGTTTCCACCAATAAAAAAAGGTGACTCCACGAAATCATTCTGTAGCCATTGCCACTCAGAAATGTATGCAAAACTGAATGATTTGAAGAAGCATTTAGAAACTAAAAACATAAAGCTAAAAGTGAATTGATTTCAAAAAATAAGCAAATGACATTATTCACAGGACCAGGGAAGATTTGTAAGCCTTCAGCAAGAGCTGAGTGTACCTTAGATTTGTATATTGACGGACAGCACGACTGCAGCTGTGTATTGGTGGTTAAATGCGAAATTATTTACGATTTTCTGATTAGCGACTTCTAGCGAATTTTAGGGGAACGGCTTTTTCTAATCTAGAAGAATTTTAGAAAACAGCTTAGCGACTTTTATTTTTGTTCATTTTGTCAATTTCATATGAAAAAGACGAAGAGTTGTATTATTATATTACGAAGTTTCTAATCCAAAGTTGTATTCACCAGAAAACATCCCGACGGAATATTTATTATCCAGATGTTCCTCCCAATAATTCGATTAAGCAACTTTTTTTAGGAAAATTATTTTTTTGTATTTACACATGACTGAGCAGAGACAATTTTTCTTTTTGGTCCATTTCACAAGGAAAAAAAAAAAATATTTTTTAACCTACTCTTAACGCATAGACATTAGACAAGTCATAGAAAGTAAAGTTACGATTAGCACTAGGTGAACTATTACTTTGGGGTAAAACACATTGACCAACGCTTTGAAACATCAGTCATTCGAGCAAGATATACTTTCGAGTCGACGCACAGTGTTTTCAATAGAACAAGCTAGCTGGACAAAATTATTTACTGGGGTATTTTGCGTCGTACGGCTTTCCTATGATATTTTAATGCGGTTTCAGCACAAAACACTATAATAAAATGAGGAAGGGCTTCGTGAACGAATAAAACAAAAAAGATATTAGATATTTTGTATATTAAGACAGGTACAGGTATATTAGGACAGGTCTTAATTATTCAAAATCACTAAATTCTTTTTCTGAAGAATCTTCTACATATTTTGACAAAAACTACAAAAACTTACACTAGAATTTATATTAGATACAGTATCAGCAAATAAATTTTATATAGATATAGTATTATTAGATCTAAAACCTCAGACTGAAGTTTACTTGTCGGTTTTTTGGGAAATCTAAGACTATTTTCTACAGGATCAGATGTGATTATCAACATATTAAGTAAATCCCTATTCGTGGCAATACACGATTGTTCGACTATTGTGTTCTCGGAATCTTCTACAATCTTTTGCGTTTCTCGTTCTTTGAACGTTGTTTTACATTTTCTTTGTCACTTTCGTCCCTAAGTTGCCATTTTTGCACTTCGAGACACTATTTGTGACCTTTTGTTTGTAAGTGCTATGACTAAAACTTCCAACGCACCCCTACTTGCTTAAGAGAGAGAAAGATGAGTCAGAGTAAAAGATTGTAAAACTTCATGCTTTGCAAAAATTAGACGTTCAGCCGTTTTATTTAAAATCGACTAAAGTCTAATTTCGTTGCCTTAACAAAAATCTGTTCCTCGAGAGGGTAACACTCAATTTTTGCCAGTCTAACACTATAGAATGATGGAAATACCTGATGTCCTGCTTTGATGATCCACTTTTTTGTCTGTTTATATGAGTGGCTTGTAGATTCGATCGTCTATATATGAAAAAGTCTCTTCTTTTGACAAACATCTTGTTTCTTCTTGAACACTTAACTTCTTTTCACTTTCCAGGACTGTGACTTGCTTCTTTAATCACTGAATCTAAGTGCCGATGTCCGGATAATCTTGCCTATATTTCAGCTGCCACTACCAATTGGTTCACGTTCCGTGAATGAAAAAGGTCGTCCACGCGCCTCCTTTTTGTTTTTACACTGGCTTCAGTGAAATCCACTAATGGACGCCCAGGAATCGAAGCCATTCTTAATGCTGATACTGCTGAGTGTGGGACGGATACTTTATATATATAATACACAGTTTAATATACAGCCAACCATTCAGTTCAGTTCTTAGTCAGGAAACGATCGCGACGATTCCCAGAACTTTCCCATTTTTCTGTAAATTAAGATATAAAAAGAAGTCTAGTTCAAGCATATCCATTTACTAGTTTATATTAAACAGCACATAACTTTAACTTGAAGATCCATCACTAAGCTTAAAAAAACACTTACTCACTGATATATAACGTTTCTTCGGTAAGCGCAAAAATGCAATGAATAACTCATTTTCTAACCCTTTCTTTTTATTCTACTCTCTTTATGTTATTAGTAGTTGATATGAGTGCAAAAAATGCTTGGAATTGGGGCAGTGGGGTTATCGGCAGGAAATTGAACAATGACTTTTGTCCAGCTAGCATGTTCACAACAAATCACTGTGCGACGCGGCAAGAGCGTTTTATCCCATCGCATCGACGGTAAACGACAGCGAACGGCGGCGGACGGCAGTGGTCCACCACTCGTTATTGAACGATCGGTTTCACTATCTGAACTGTCCATCGTGTTCAAGGCGCAAACTATTTGTAACGATTGTTCTGGGTACAGATTCTGCACGTCCGCTTCGGGTCTTTTTGAGTCCTTTAAGCGTCCAATCTATGAAACCGTAGGCCGTTAATGTGGCTCTTATCCATTCACAAAGTTAAGAGAGGAGGAAGAGAGAAATATAGGGTTTAATTAGATGAGCATTATTGAATGGATGGTTTAAAACGGTTGTGATTACGACAGCGTTTGCTTTCGAGATATCTGTTGTGCAAGATCTACTGTTATGTCTTCAAAGTTGATCAGTTTTCACTTGAGGAAATCAAAATTGGTAACTAATGGTTACCAATCGTAGAGCGGAGCGAAGTTCGCGTAAAAACAGCAGTTACTGTAGTGTATGTTATAATACATAGTAATAGATCTACATGCTGTATGCAATAGTATATAATAATGTTCATAGTAATAAACTTCACTTATTATTCAGCAGTCAGACGTTTCATTCCTCTCCCAACGCATTCCCTTATATGGTGACCCCGCCATGTTTGGTGTAGGGCTTCGAATTGCATTTCGGTCATAGAGTATCTAAGAAAATGTGCGAATTCAAGACTTGTGTGCTCAGCGTGGGTTGTACTGTCGTGCGAATACTGTTTTCGATATATTCCAAGAACAATGTGTAACTCAAATTCTCCTAAATATTCTCCTGAATATGATGTCAGATATTCTACATGTGAAGCAGGACAGAAAAGTAATTCGGCATGTCG